GAGTCGGAGTAGTAACAGGTCGGGTTAAATCCAAATTCGGTTGAATTCAGGTCGGATTAGTAACAGGTTGGGTTGATTTTAGGTTTCAACGGTTCAAAACGGGTTTGGGTCAGCCTCATTTATCTCAAGTTTGGGCCGGGTTCGATTTAGGTTAATAATTGACGGGTTATGTTGGGGTCGGGTCATCTCAGGTCGAGTCACATGTTCAAGTTCGAGTCACGAATCCTAAGGTTAATTCGGGTCTCAAATTGTTTTCATGTCGAGTCATATCAGGTTCGAGTCACCAATTTCTCGAGTTCAAACAGGTCAAGTCATGATCGAGTTAGGGTAAAATTTTCAGATTGGGTCAGCTTTTGACAGCTTAAATACAATCCCACCCCCAAAACAACCCCACCACCCATAACCACAAAATAACCCCACCTTGAATCCGCCCCAACCCATCCCCAAACCACCCCCGCCAACCCATAAAAACAACAAACCTCACTGCCGAGGAAGTAACGTAGTAATGGAGTAATGTTATATATTTGTTGGTACATAACATGTACAATTCATAAATATTTTTAAAATTAACATTGGTACCACTGAGATGTGAAATGTATCATTGTTAGTACAATAATATTATAAATAGTTAAAGTTACACTAAATATTGATACAATGGTATACTTTTGTAGCAAATATATATGTACCACTAGGTTGTGAAATCATGCAATTGGAGTGTAATGGTATAATAGTAGTTGTAATGGTACTAAAATGACTATAGTGGTACAATTAAAACTTGAAAATTAAAGTGAAAATATGTGATCTCGTCACCTTTTTGTTGTACTAAGTTACCATTATGTCCTTGTTATTTACCTACAGATACATAACATTACTTACTTTAAATATCTATACAAAGTGCTAACATTACTTACTTTAAATATTTATACAAAGTGCTCTCAGTTAACTTCTTTTTCTTGATTTTGGATTTTGCCCCCTTTATTTTTTACTTGTTTTTGGATTTTATTTTATAATATATAATTCAGATATACAAATTATTATAAGTCTTCAAACCTCTAAGTACTCTGATTAATAATGTGTTATTCAACTATTTTTAATGAATACATATCTTTGTTTTTTTTTTGAAAGATTTTTATCTCTTTATTTATGAATGTCTAAATTCTCTCTCTCTCTCTCTTTCTCTCTCTTTTTTTTTCCATTTTTATTAACACCTTCGTTAACTTTTAGTTGCAACTTTGGGGTATTATTTGTGAGATATAAAATATTCCAAAGTTGCAACTAAAAGTTAACGGATGTAGTAATTTTTTGGAACTAATTAAGTTTTAAAGTTTATTTTTACAGATACATTGCAATAATTTCATTAGTCAAAGAAAGTTGTGTTTATTTTTTTTAATGAATGTAACCCAAATCTGATCCTTCATATCTATTATCAATTTGTTTAAATTCTAAATCATATTTATCAATTATTGGGGATTACATAACTTAGAATTGGGGATTACATAACTTAGAATTGGGGTTTACAAACAAAAAATCATATTTTTTGGTTGATAATTTCTTAATATGAAATGAAACTTTTAACAACTCCTGTTTTACCATATAATAATAATTGGCATATCTCATATGCAATGTCAAATAATGATTAAACAATTTATGTGATCAATTTATGGGATTAAATAACTTAGAATTAGGGTTTATAGACAAAAAATTATATTTTTTGGTCGATAATTTCTTAATATGAAATGAAACTTTTAACAAATCCTCTTTTACCATAAAATAATAATTGGCATATCTCATATGCAATGTCAAATAAATATTAAACAATTTATGTGATTAATTTTATTTTATTTTTTTAAAATTTTGAAGATTTATTAAACATCTGAAAATTTGTTCCCCCGGATTAAAAATCCTGGCTTCGTCACTGGTCATCGTAGAATATGCCCAAAAGATATTTCCATCGTATAGAATTGAAAGTGCAACAATTAGAGGTCAATCACCATGTATAATCCTTCATTCAAATAATTTTCCTTAAATTTTATCTTGTGTGAACTCATCAACCCTTATTATTTTTTGTTTTTGAAACCTCATCAACCCTTATCTAATATGAGTACTATGGCCAAATAACTAGGTCATTTAAAAAAAAAAAAAAAAAAAGAAAGAAAAAGACCCTTTAGCCACAATTCGGAAAAAAAAAATTAGAAAAATTACTCCGCAACAATCTATAAATATTACTAAAGGAATAACCGCTGACATCATCACTTTTTTCATATTATACACATGTCAACTTCTCCGTTATTTATTTTCACGCCCAAACTTTTTTCCCTTTCATATTTTTTTTTTAAAAAAAAAAATCTAAATACTGATTCCAAAGTAGTTTAATACAGTCTATTAAACTTTTAAGTTTTCATTGCTATTTTTTTGTAAAAAAAAATTAAAAAAAACTCTTAAAAACCTCAAGGAAAACTAATATCAACCTTTTATAATTTACATATGTGATTATTCCATCTAATTACAAAGTTCCCTAAATTTTATTGTAGACGTGAGTTTTCTTTTGTTTATATTATTTTAATTTTTGTCGTTTGGTTTATGTTAATAATATCGTCTGTAATATAAAGATTTTACATATTTTGACTGATATGACTTTAAAGTAGTTTACACAATTATAACAACTTTTGTTAGTTATATCCGTGCATCGCACGGGAGTTATCTAGTTTGGTAAATAAAAGTTAACCCCATACAACAATTTGATGCAAAAAAACATATAAGCAATAAAAGTTAATATATATATATATATATATATATATATATATATATATATATATATATATATATATAAACTCACAAGCAACATTTATACTAAAAATTCAAAAAAAAAAAATCGACAAACTCTTCAGAATGCCTTTTTTAATTCGTTTTGGTGTTTGTAAAATTTATTTTCCCATTTAAACTTTCCCATTAACATTTCAAACCTTTTTATTTTAAAAAATCTTATATATAATTAAGTAAAAAAAATTATTAATAAGGGATTGGAAAATTAAGTGAAATTAATATTTAAACTATTTACTTTGAATTTTTATTTCTCTAAAATGAATTGAAAATAAGTGAAAAAATAATAAGGAGAAATTTAAGAAGAAAAAACCATGAAAACGAATTAAATAAGACATTCATGAGTAGTTTGCCATAATTTTATTATTATTGTTGGGTCAATTGTCGGCTTGAGGTTTTTTTTTTTTTTTTTTTTTTTTTTTTTTTTTTTGTACCAACACTTTCTCTAGAGAGAATTTTTTTACCAAATTATTGCTAGGATTTTTAATTTTTTTTTTCTTTTATCAATTTGGTCATCAATCGGCCGAAGTACCTTGCTTTATTTCTTATTTTAGTTAAAGTGTTATTTTATTAACCCTTTTATGAAGTACTTTGCATTATTATCTAATTGTATAGTACTCCGTATTATATAATTTGAATCTATTAGACTTAAAATAGGTGAAAATAGGAAATCAATCCAACTAGATAACATGGAAGCTTAGAAGGATCGACACCTCTACATTTGCAAAATACTCCTTATAAAAGAAGGAACATGTATTAGCTCTAAATTTTGCTGTCAGCTCATTAATCAATTTACGTTAGTTGCCACCAAAATTAATGTCATGATTAAGATGCCTAACTAAATTATCAAAATTCATTTAATTTATGAAATGGAAAGCGAGCTCAAGAGCTTACCTAAATTTAGTTAACCATTACTTTTATTACACGTTGTTAAAGCCCTTATTTTTTTCATTTAACATATATCTATTCTATTAACTACTACTCCGTACTAAAACAAAACATATTGACATCATTAGAGGACACTTGTCAATTTCTTATGAAATTTTTCCCGCCAAAGCTATTTTTGACATCATTTTTTTTTCTCTATTTTTTTTTTCTCCTAAGTTTTAAAACTAAACAATTACAATATGTCTTTCAAAATTAATAAATAAGATTATAATTACACTATTTCGAATAAAGAATATTGACAACTATTTTAAACAGACCTAAAAAAAACAACTATTTTAAATTGTGTAACGCATGGAATTAATCTAGTTTGAACTAATTACTACGGAGTACTACCTTCATTAAAGAATAACAATAATTGACTCAGTTTTCCCGTAAAACAAAAAATGACTCAGTTTGAATTTTTTTTTAATGTTAATTTTATGAGCATTTCTACTACGAGTAACAATTTATATGCAAAATCATTTCTTCTTGTGTACGCACCAAGTCCAAAAGAACAAATTACAAAATAAACCTTGGTTGGTACATATACATGTTTTACATGTTTAAGTTTTTGAGTGATTGTATTAATAAAGTAATAAATATGTTAGAGTAACAAGTGTAAGATTTTGTGAAACTCATTCAAGTGTATTTTATTACAACGATGAGTCCTAATCACGTTAGGAAATCTTAAAATATTTACACAATATTCACAAAATATATCCTTCTATAACAGAATATTTATCCTATGTTTTATCACACCCCCGCAATCATAATGGGAGGAGGACGAAAGCTTAAGTTGGATTTGAAGTCCATGAACAGTTGTCGAGGTAAGCCTTTTATAAAGATGCATGTATGCAAACTGATATCGAGTAGGCACCGTGCAGGACCCATACATGTCTCAACTTCACCTTTTCTTGGACGAAATGAGTAACCATTTCGACGTGTCTGGTGCGTTGGTGTTGTACGGGATTATGAGATAAATAAATTTCACAGATATTATCACAATAACCAATAGAAGCCAACAAGTCTCGACAACAACGTTTGCGACGCCCCTGTATTCTGCCTTTAATTTGCACTTGATCTAGATGATATATACTACGTTTACACAATATTCACAAAATATATCCTTCTATGTATAACAGAATATTTATCCAATATTCTATCAATAAGTACTATGTGTTAAGTGACCATATTGTAAAACAAATCAATGTTATATGTACAATACTACCATTAATGACATAAAGAAGGTTTCACAAAAATAAAATCATGTGCACTAGAATGATTTACGTCTAACAGTTTTTTGGCGTGATAGCGAGGGCATGGTATTTGTGATTCTAATAACGCATGACACGCATATAAATATGTGCATTGTTAGTTAATATCTATAATCATAAATCACAAAGAATTTCTAAGTATGGAAAAGAATTTGAAAGTAAAGACCAAAGCCAACTTAGAGAAAACAAACTCTAAGCTAGATGAGTTAGAGCCTGTGAGTCCAGCATCAGAATACTTACTAAGTGAGGTTGCGACACTCTATATTCTTTCCATTTTTGAATTGGAGATCCCTATTGATACTTCATGCGTCTATGCTTTCTTCAATAGCGTTTTTCTCAATAGTCATCCCCGTTTTTCCTGTATTCCGGTAACAATCCTACTTTATCTCTCTCCCTCTGTCCCCTCGTACCATAACCACTATCATTTTTTAATCTTATTTACTACTATCATTTTTTAATCTTATTTACTCGTAAAATTGCTTTTATCTAACATTATGTTGTCACCGCTAAAGTTTAAGTTGTCACGCCTACTTCAAGAGAAATTGATTTTGATTCAGATGGTCCTTTAACACTATGAACAAACACTAGTAAGTGTATGGTAATAGTTTATGCTTTTTCCATTTGCATATCCCATGTGAGTATGTGTCGTGTCTTAGATTTTTATATTGTCATTAAAAATAATGTAACAATAGACTTGTACTATGTCTAGATGTCTAGAGCTTAAGTCACATGTAAAGAAAATAATCGTACATTTATTCTAACAAATGTTCTTAATTGCACAATGTGTATACAGATTAAAGGTAAAAAGGGAAGAAATATGTGGAAGAAAGTGGAAGTAAATGTTGAAGATCATATTATAAAAGGCCCAATTTTGCCCGAAGGTCTATCAACAGAAAGTTATAGTAAGCATTTAGATGATTACATGTCCAAAATAGCTACAACACCATTTCAACTAAACAAACCTTTGTGGGAAGTTCACACATTCAACTACCCTACAAAAAATGCAACTTCAACTTTGTTTGTTAAGTTTCACCATGCTGTTGGTGATGGCACCTCTCTTATGGGAGTTGTCTTTACCTGCCTTCGAAGAGTCGATGATCCTAAGCTTCCTCTAACTTTCCCTTCCAAAACTAGGAAAAACAGTTCAAGAGAAAAACAAGGGGCTATTCACAATGTGATGAAAACATTAAGTGAAGTGCCTAGGTTTCTATCCTCTATTTTTACTTCGTTGTATGATTATGGACAAACTCTTAAGGTGGTGTCATTTGAAGATGATTGTAGTCCGGTTAGGTCCGGAAATACCAACATGCTTCTTCCAAGCTCGGCTAGAGTTTGTTCAGTCACTCTACCTCTCAGTGATGTCAAGAGAATCAAATCACTTCTTAGAGTGGTAAGACAATTGTGTTAAAACCTTTTCTTATGCATGTTTAATAATTTCTACGGTTAAAAAAATCACATGCATGTAGACCTGACATACTTTAAATAACATGTCTAATATATCAAATGGGTCATTTGGGTCGGGTGCTGGTCAATTCGGGTCTGGTTAAATTTGGGTCGGGTCAATTCGAGTTTCATGTATGACTTGGGTCAGGTATCGGGTTGGGTCAATTTTGGTTGAGTATGTTCGGATCAGACCATTTTCGAGTCCAGTATGTTCAAGTCATTTTCGGGTTGGGTCAAAATCGAGTTGAGTCATACTTGAGTTGTTCCCTTTGTAGATCTAGCTCAAACAGATAATTTTATATCTTTTTGTAAAACAATAAGCATTATTAATACGTTTTATGGGCTTGGCTACGATTGGAGATGAACAATATGAGTCGTTTTTGGCTCAAACATTTTTAGTTCAGTTATAAGGTAATTTTAATTCAATACATTTCGAGAATCTGGTATGTTTGGGTCAAATGTTTCGGGTCAATATTGAGTCAAGTTATTTCTGGTATCGAGTCAACTTTGGGTCGGGTTAATTTGGGTTTCGGGTCAAAATCGAGCCAACTCTATTTTCGGGTTGGGTTGATTTTTGGTTTCGGGTCGATTTTTTTAATTTAGATCGATTTAGGATCATTCGGGTCAGTTCATCGAGTCTGGGTCAGGAGAACCATGTCTACTTGTGCACAACCACACAAGCAATACAATGGGTGTAATATATTTATACAAAAACAAGTAAGTCACCTCAAATCATAATTGTATGATTTAACGTTTGTATCCTTTTTCACAGACTGTCAACGATGTTATTCTTGGTATAATCTCTTTCGCTACTCGATTATATATCCAAGAAATAGACCAACGACAATCAAACAACAGCCGCATGACGGCATCAATAGCCCTCAATACAAGGAGTATCAAGGGATATGCAAATCCGGAAGAGATGCGCAAGGGAAAAACATGGGGGAATAAAATTTCAGTGATTGAATTATCACTACCAAAATATAAAGAGGAAGATCTTAGAAATCCACTCAATATTATCATGAAAGTCCATAAACTTATGATGAGAAAAAGGAAAAGTGTTGGCGCCATCTATCTCACTGCTTGGACCCTTGATGCTATAAAGCTTATCGGAGGCCTTAAGGTTTGTTGTTATATACGAAGTACAATATACTACATCCGTTAAATATTAGTTACAAGTTTGGAACAGTTTATATCTTACAAGTAATAGTTCAAAGTTATATCTAATATTTAGCGGAGGTAGTATATGCATCTACACTTTATATCCGATTACAATTGAATGTTACACATTCTTTGTCCCGTTTTAGACCTTCATCATTTTGCTTCTTTTTTATTCCAAATTGGTGAATAGATTGTTGCATACATCATGTATAAACCCGTTAATCAAATCGGTCGGGTCAGGTATGAGTCGGGTCATTTCGGATCACGGGTCATTTTGGGTCGAGTCACGGGTTGAGAAATGTTCAACCCTCACCCAAAGTTTTGGGTTCGAGTCAACACAACGGGTTTAGAACATATATTATTTAAATTTTATTTTTCAAGTATACTTCGCTATTTTTTTAGTGATTACATACCAGAACTACATAATTCAAACCGTCATCATTTCTCCAAAACACATCAATTCCTAATTTAATAAAAAATGATAATAAAATTAAACATAAAAATTTTTAACATCTCAAAATTTAAGGAAGAGGCCAGACTAATATTATTATATATGTGGAGTATAATATCACTTGACATGATAGAAGTAGAGAATCAATCGGTGGCATAACGGTGATGTAAGTTATGCGGATGCAATTAGTGTGGGTTAATAGTTGATGTATGATGTAATTCGTGTGAATTTGAGCAAGAATAATATGAGATAGATAAATGAAAAAGAGATTGGATGAATGTCCAATGGTAGACAAACGATCAAACTTAATCAATAAACTAATATTAATTTTTAAATAAATGTATTTATTATAAAAAAAAAAGGAAAAAAAAACATAGAACCGAGTCAATGTATCAGATTCGGGTTGAGTTTGACACGCAAATTAACGGGTTAAACAGATTTGGGTTAAATCGGGTAACAGGTCAAAAAAAGTTGTTCAAGACCCACAATAACGGGTCAGGCGGATTTGCAGGTTGGGTCGAATTTGACAGGATACTAACTTCATCCTCAAATTATGTCCTCGGTCTTAGCTTAGAAATTGACAATCATTTTTTTTTTTATTCGAATGAGCCACAACAACAACACAAATTGTAAATTATAAATGGGGGTTTACAAATTTTACCATACAAGTATACAACATATTGTACACATGTCCTTAGTTAGCGCACATGTTAAAATAATATGAAAAAATAAATACAGTATTGAACATATGCAGCTTGATTTGACCCGAAATTTGCCTGTGTTGGGCTAGATTATTTGGCCTGAATCTTGGGCTTTGGCCGGTCCAATATGATTATTGTACACATGCTCTTAGTTAACGTACTAATTGTTTTGGGCTTTTTACTTTTTAGTACTTTATAATTGTGGCCCAAATGGCCTGATATTTTTGGCCCAAAATAGCAAATTTTGGACATAATTTTTTGGTCCTGTTTGGACCATCTTGGCCCGAAGCTTTAGCCCAACAACTTTTTTTTTTTTTTTTTTGCCAAGGTCCGGCCTAACCCATGCATGATCAAGTCTAGGGATGGCAATTCTAAATGGATGTCCGCAAATTCGATCCACCCGAAATAAATAAATGGACGAAAATCCGCATTAAATGGATGAAGGGCGGATGACGGATGAAGCGGGTGACGGATCGGGTCGGATTCGGGTGGGGCTCCGTTTCATCCGTCACCCGATCCGTCATCCGTTTATCACCCGATCCGTAGTCCATCCGTATATATATAAAAAAATTCCAATTTTCTTATATACTAGTATACTACACTATGTATGTACTGTATATTTCTAAAAAAATAAATATTTCTAAAAATTCTTTAATTTTATTTTTAAAAATATAAAACCTCCCTTAATTCCCAATTAAGTAGTACCGAAATAAGTTCATGATTACGTTAAAAAAAAATGTAAGTTCATGATTATTATTTTTTTATTATTATTGCTATAGTTTGGAATAAGAATTCAATTAATGGTTTACTTTTTAAGTTTAAAATTGGCTAAAAGTTTTTTTTTTAATAACGTATTAGATTTTATAGTTAGAGTAGGATTATAATTATCAACCGCTAAGCATCCGATCCACCTGTTTCATCCGCGGATGACGGATGGATCGGATGCGGGTGATGGGTTTTGCGGGTGATGGGTGGATCGGGTGGAGCGGATGGTTAATTCGGGTGGATGCCGTGGAGCTCCATCCGACCCAAATCCGATCCGTTGCCACTCCTAATCAAGTCTAAATCTATCTGAATTTTTTTTTTTTTAATTTTTTTTTTAGGAAAACCTCAATTTTTTTCTTGTATGTCCCATTTTGGCTTTCACATGTGTTAGTAAATGTGAAAACTTAATCACTAATAGTTTTTATTGTCAATAATAAGTACTCCCTCTATCCCTTAATTAAATTTCTATTTCTAGCATTTATTCCTTACATAATAGAGGGAATTAGGAATCTAATTAAGGGACGAAGGAGTAATATATCTTAGGTCCGTAATATAAAAATATATACTAATATGTAATATGTATAGTACTATAATCTTTGCCAAGCATTTGTTAATTTAATTGAGTTTACCATTGACTTTTTTCAACAATCTACCGTTGACTTTAAATATGTACTGTTCACACTTATGTGTATACTTTATACACACATATTTTCTGTTTTATTATTAATTTATTTTATAACGGTAAGAAGAAGGGGCTTATTATTTGAGGGGATATAAGACAAGTCCCCCAAATGAGTCCCATACTCCAAGAGGTTCAATCCCTAGACCTCAGGAATACAAGGTAGGAGTGATGTCACTATTATATCACCTCAACCTCGGTTTTCATTATTAAGATGGCGTTGTGAATATGTGATTATATAAACAATGTACTTTGTATAAAGAATTTATACTTTATTGTTTCCAAATAGAACTATATCAATATATAAAAATTATAAATGCAAGGTCACTCTTGTATGTAGGCAGCAGCTCGGGCCTTTGAAAAAAGCTGGAAAAATTCAACCTTTGCAATCACGAATTTGGTTGGTCCAACTCAGCATGCCAGTATTGCTGATCATCCCATCAAAGGCTTTTACTTCGTACCAACTAGATTGAACTTGGTTAGTTTCATCTTTATTCTCTTCTTCAATTTCATAATGTTCAAACAAAATACTCAAAATAAATCTTAGTTTAAATTATAACCCCATTCATCCCTATGAATGGTATATATGTTCAACACATACGAAACTGTACCTTTCTCACACAACTTAATTTATTTAAGTCCTTTAATCTACTATCGATATACATGACACTATTGTCAATAAGCTTAATCTATTAGAGGCTTTTATATATTGTCGATTGGTTTAGTATGTGGTATGTACGTGGTCACATTCTAATACATACACTTAGTAAGACGTTAATTTTTGTAACGTCTATCAATGATCAACAAAAGATTTACAAATGTCGTTGATATTGGTATTGCAGAGTTTAACAGTTTCCGTGATGAGTTACATGGATAATCTAAGAATTGGTTTAGTAGTTGAGAACGGCTTCATCGATCACCAAAGATTAATCAATTGCATGGAAAATGCCTATCAATTATTTCTCCAAGCTGCCACTTCTTCTACAAAATCTACTGCACAGTAAAATAAGAAGACTGCAGTAGATTTGGTGTACGGACAGGCCACATGATTATTGGATCGAGGCTCAAGCTCTACCAACATGGGTGCACCGGTATCCGCCAAAGTGTACAAACAAGCCCGTCTAGCTCAGTTGGTAGAGCGCAAGGCTCTTAACCTTGTGGTCGTGGGTTCGAGCCCCACGGTGGGCGTTAATTAATTGCTGTACATTTTTTTCTTCTTGTGGTATGTAAATAACAAGTACTCCGTACTATTGTTGCCAGTTGTTTACCTTTACTATATTACGGACTATCTTTTCACCAAAAAAAATAAAATAATATTACAGAGTATCAAGTTTCCAATAATATTGCACTTGACAAATGTACTTAACAATCGATTATATGGTCTAAATTTTAGGAATTAGATAATTGGTTTTCTGATCATTCAGAAACTGGAATTGAATCAATTAAACCGGTTCATAAAATTTTGAAATTGTCATGTAGGGGTGTTCATAAATCGGTCTGGACCTATAAAATGGACCGGGCAGGACCAAACCAAATTAATCGCTTCGGTCTTCGGGTCTAGAAATTTATTTTTTCGGTCCGGTCCAAAACCCTATTTTATACTAAACATACAAAAAAAAAAAAAAAAAAAAAAAAAAAAAAAAGTAAAAAACATAGTTTTTCATAAATTTATTAAAAATTTAGATTTTTTTTTACAGAAAAAAACTCTTAAATCGGTCTAAAGCGGTCCGATCCGAGGTTTGTGCCGATTCTTTCAGTCCAGTTCTTAAAATTCTAATTTTAAGTCTTCGGTTCTTCCTAATACAGAGTACTTTGTAATTCATCATCCATATCCATATCACTATATGGGCATCAACCTCTCACATGATGGACCACACGGCCTTCTCCCTAATCAAAAGTAACTCTCTTGCCATCTTGTATGGACCAGGATCCTCCCTACCCAAAAGTTTGGGGATGGAAAAGAATGCTTTAACAAAAAGAGAGGATTAACCAAGAATTAGCATGGTTTGCTAATTTACAACGAGTTTTAAAATTTTAAAGCATGTTCTTGGTTTATATGCCAAAGGGACAATTGATAGAGGCATATTAACAATAATCGATCAAAAATGTTAAATTCAAGATAAATTAATAATTATTGCTATAATAAAAATATAAATATTACAGGATCGAAATCTACACTCTTAATAGTTTATTTGTTTTTAATGAAACATTAACAATCTATGTTGAAAAAAAAAACTAGTCAACAATATATCTCTTTTATTATATGATTTTTTTTTATTTTTGAAAAGTAAGATACATGAAAGAGATTAGGTAAGTCATTCCTTATACCACTATAAAAGAAACTACAATGGAAGATTCAATTGATTATTCTCTACAACTTATGATTCTAGCCAAGCAACAAACCCACTTAAATATATATAATCTATTAATTAAATAGAAAATAATTCATGGATTATTAATTTTGCCTTGAAATCAATGAAGATCAAATAGCGATGAGTTGACTTCAAATGCACATCCTTGTAAATCTATAAATAATTTTAAGGTGAAACAAATTAGTGGTGAAAGTTTGTCTCAATAGCTTTTCTACAACAGATCATGTCTGCTCACTCATAATTATTAATAAAATAAAATACAAATAGAGAGAAAGTTATGGACATTTTACGAAAAATTGCTGAACTTGAAAGTTCCTGAATATACTTGTTTATCTTCCCATTCGCTATATATGTGGTCAAACTTTGACCATATTGTGTTACTCATAATAACAATATTTTATAAATGTTACTTATGCAAATTGAGAGGTAGAAATGATCTAACTTGTACATGGGAGACCGCACAAAACACAAATGAGAAGATGAAAAAAGGACGACGAAGATAGATTAATTTGTAAATTTTTCCTTGAATTTTCATGGAAGGTATAATTTATGATTTTGAGAATAAGGATGCAAGATGGTTTTACATTTTTAGTCCCTATTCTACTTACCTTATTTTCTCACTTACTTTGTGAAAAGTAAGTTCAAATAAGATAAGTGTTGATTAGGGGTTTGTATGTACGATGTGTCGGTGCATGTAGGTGTATTTCAAAAGTGTTCCATCTTATTCTCACTTACAGGTTTTTGGTTGTTTATGCGGCTACCCTCTTATCCCATCTACTACCATTAACAAGCTACAAACTCGATCATCCACTCCTTATGTAGTTGTGTGATTTTGGGGTATCCTACAAACCACCGTGGCTACAAGTGTTTTGATTTGTCGTCTAATAAAAACATTACATGCCGCGCTTTGTTTTATTTGATGAGATCGCGAGTTTGTTTTCTCTTTTACTAAGTTTTATGTCCCAACATCTAATGCTAATTATGATTTTCTTGATGATGGAGTTCATCCATATATCCTCTACCATCTTTCTGATTTAGCGCCATAACAAGCCCAAACACATTGTCCTCCTACATCTTTCTAGCTTGCGTAGCTATCCTACGACCAAGGCAGAATTGGCACAGTCAAACCAGGCTCCTACCCCTACGACTGAGCTAAAATCAACTCATCCTGCTACCATATCATAAGCATTGGACTTTCTCCTCCCTTAATCCCAAGGCCAATTCAATCTCTCGCACCTCCTCTCCAGCGCAGCAGACCCAAAATCAGTCTAGCCCACTTGCACGTCTTCCCCACTTCTATTCCACTCCAGCAGCACAGTCTAGTGACAAGGAGCCAAAATGGGATTTTCAAACACAATCCCAAATACACTCAACATTCTATGCACACTACAGTGTCGAGGTCTCCTTTACCTCGTAATTTGGTTGAGGCTCTTCGTGACCCTAATTGGAAAATGGCCATGGATGATAAATATGATTCTCTTATTAAAAGTAAAACATGGAGGGGTGCCTTGTCCACCTAATGTTATCGTGATTCATTTTATGTAAATTTTTACTCATAAAGTCAAATCTAACGGTGTTTTTGAGAGGCATAAAGCTTGACTTGTAGGTAATTTAATGGCAAAACTCAGCAGGTGGGCATTGATTGTGGGAAGACTTTTAGTTCGGGTGTTAAATTGGCTGCCATCCGCATTGTTCGGAGTCTTTCTCTCTCAGAGGCATGGTCAATTCATCAGTTGAACGTCAAAAATGTCTTTCTACATGGTGAGCTTAAGGAACAATGTATATGCATCAACCCTTGGGTTACAGCCGGGATCGTACTTATCCTGACTATGTTTGTCTTTTGCGTAAGTCTTTGTATGGACTTAAGCAAGCATCTCATTCTTAATTGGTATAAACGTTTTTCAGATTTTGTCTTATCTATTGGGTTTACCAACAGTAGATGTAACACCACTTTGTTCATTTTCAGATAAGGGTCCGATATATGGCTTACATTTTGTTATATGTTGATTATATTATTCTCGCAGCTTCCCCAGATGCTCTCCAGCATTATATCATGGATCTTCTTAGTTCAGAGTTTTCTATGAAAGATCAGGGTCCTCTTAATTATTTATTGGTATTGTTGTCACTTGATATAAGAGTGGTATGTTACTTTCATAGCATAAATATGCTGAAGAAATAAATGAGTATGCCGGTATGACTTTATGTAAGTCGTCTCCCACTTCGATTGACACCAACTCGAAGGTTAGTGGTACCTTTAGTGCTACTTTTAATGATCCTACTCTGTATCAGAGTCTTGCGGGGACTTTGTAATATCTTACTTTCACACGGTCGGATATATCTTATGCCGTCCAACAAGTGTGTTTTCATATGGCGCATATGATCTGCGGGTTGATCACATGTTTGCCCTCAAGCAAACTAGTTGGTATAGGATGTAAGGGTACTTTAGATCATGTTCTTCACTTGTATCCGTATAGGGAATAATTTCAAGCCTTTAAAAATCCCACTAGCTTGAACCCCACTGTGATCATACACTAAAGTACGGTGGCGTCCAAAAGGGAAGAAGATAGAGCAAAAGAGTCGCCAACAAGTTTTTAAGGAACTTGTAAACCGTTCACGAGGTGAAGGTTACACCCCTTAACGATCCAAGAGATCGTCAACTCCATAAGGTCATGAACCAAATAAGGGTTCGGGGATGATAGTACAAATCCAACCTAAAAGAGATTGAACCTGCCCTAATAATAGGCCTCTACTTTATTCTGCTCGTATTCATGTGCGCTTTCTGACTAACATACAATCAATAGGTTAACCCTAAACCTGTTTAATCTATGTTGGTTGAATTTAATGCACAAACAAATCTATTATTGGCGATCACTTGAATTAATAATCATAATTAACCTAACAAGATTATTAAATTATCTTATTAAGCGTGATTGCAAGTACCAAATTCCCTTTAACATTCAATAAAGGTGTGATCAAGCAATAACAATAAATATCAAGCAACATAATAAATAATAATAATAATAATAATAATAATAATAATAATATCAATAAATCATAATCATGTTAAAGCATAGCAAGATCCTAGGCATGATACTAACAAGATTAATAACAAACCCTAGCATGTCACTAACAATCATAAATATTAGGAAGAGAATAAAAGGTATCATAGCAATCATATATAATATTAAAAAAATCCTAGACATGATACTAGGAATATCATAATAACAATACAAACATGATTTCTACATCATAAAATCAATAAATCAATAAAGTACTTACTTGGATGCCTCGTACCTCTTTCTAATTACAAAATACACACGTTAGTAACTTCAAGGAAAATAATAAATCAAAGCAATTAAATTAAATAATTGAAAGAGAGATTTGGGACCAAACCCTCATAAATTAAAACCTTTCACGCCTAGGGCGAAGGCAACTTCGAATATGGCTAGGTGTTTCTAGATCTTGTGAATGCGGAATTTTGTATTAAAAAGCCAAGAAAAGAAAGAATGCATGAATTAATGTTATTGAAAATTGATGAATGAATGATGAAGATGAAAAGAATTGATGAACGGTAATTGATGAATAATTTTGTGAATGAAGAGAGTTGATTATTGGTCATTGACGATGAAAACAGAGTATTTGATACGATATTTATAGAGAAAAACATCCAAAAAAAGATAATTTATCAAAACAGAGTCTGAAGACCACAAAAACACTTTGGCGCCAGCCCTGGCTCATTGGCGCCAGGACCAGTGGCTAGCGCCAGGCGCCAATGGCTGGCGTCTGGCGCCAATCCTGATTCCAGGCGCCAAGGCCTGGGGTTGGACGCCAAATTGGATTTCAACGCGTTTTCGAAAATCCGATAATTTTACCGTACTGGAAGATAAAATAATATAATTTCAGTCGAAAATGCTATTTGATCTTGATTAAAACTCTGAAGAATCCTAATTGAATTAAGAATGATAAAACCTTCTAGAATGTTCTAGAAGACTAAAACCATTCCTAATTATATTAGGAATGATAAATCATATTAGGTCCTCCCCTAGATCATTGGGCCGTACTTAAAGCTCAAACCGGGCCCAGTTTAGTAAATTGGTCATAACTTCCTCAATATTCATCGGAATTGGGCTTATAATATATCGTTGGAAAGGTCTTTGCAAGCTCCATCCAACTACACCACTATTGGACCCATATCATGGACCAAAAAAAACTGGATTGGCTGTTTTCTTAAAATAAAGTTTTCAAAAACAGGGAGAAGAGAAAAGAATTAAAACTTTCCGCAACGCTAGACCTTTCCACACTTTCGCCTCATTCGATTATGGTTCGACGTGAAAGGTACTCATCACCGGGTTTGGTTTTGGGGAGACACAAATGGGTGTCTACAATCCGCCTTCTTTTTCTACTCAATATTAATCTAGTCTTATATATTGATTCAAATTGGGGTAGATGCCTTGATACAAGGTGTTCAACATCTGGTTATTGTATATTTTTCGGGTGAATGGGCGATAACTTGGTCTCATGGTCATCCAAGTGACAACCTACCTTGTTATGATCTAGTGCCGAGGTGAAGTATTGTGGTGCGGCTAACATATAATATTTGAATAATGTTGGCTCCTAAACCTTCTCCTAAAGTTGCATTGTCCTATTAAAAAGGCTACTTTTGTGTATTACGATAATGTGAGTGTTATTTATTTGTCATGTAATCCAGTTTAACTCAACATAAGAAACATATTAAAATATGCATTTTGTTTAAGAGAAGGTTGCCTCAAGTCCGTGTTCTTCATGTGCCACATACTCTCGAAGGGACTTTCACGAGTTCTTTTGATGATTTTAGGGACAGTCTTAGCGTTCGACAACCTCCCGCTTCAATAGTGGTGGTGTGTTAAGATATATAGGTATATATTGTGTATATATTCCAGTTACCTAGCCGATAGTCTTTAGAATATTAAATTAGTTACCTTGTTTATAGCTAAGTTAAATTAGGGGCTTTGACATATCTTGTATACTGTATATATTGGTAGCAAAGCAATGTTAATATTCACGAAATATAATTGTTTTAATCCGATTTCAATTTATATGAACAAATAATTAAACGAGCTCTAAGGCTCCGTTCACTTCACCTTAAGAAAATAATATTAAGTAAAAATAATTTCAATTCAATAAAGATAAGTTTAGTTCAGTAAAATTAATTTCAATTCAGTAATTAAAAACAATTTCAGTTCAGTAAAATGCAGTTTTCTTAAAGAAAAATCTATTATATAATTGCAGAGTCACTTCACCACAACCCTTCAAATCACCAATACTCAAATCTCATTCATTTGGGTTTTTTTTATTATTTTTTTTTTTAAAAAATTATTTTTTACAAACCAATAACTACCCAGTACCCATCTCATTATATTATTTATTTTTTAACTTAAAAAAACATCAATAAGGATAATAACTACCCATCTCACCTTTTTTTTTGGGATTTTTTCAAGGAATTGCAATAATTAATAAAAATTCAATTTTTTTAAAAAATATTACTAACATTTCACTTTGTCTTATTTTCTTTCGCGTATAATACATGTCGTGCATTAGCACATATACACAATTCCTTTATCAACAATTACTATAGCACCCTAAATCCCCAACCCTTCAATTATATGCATAATTTTTGGGGATTGTCCTACAAACAATTTCCACTTCGTCCCTAATCATCAAAATAAAAAATAAAAAATGTACAACACACTATTTGCGCGACTGACCTCACCGAACAGTTACTTGCAAAAGATAAAAAATAGACCTATGACAATAACTACGTAACCCCTATAACATAGAACAGGTAACCTTTATAGATTTAACACACCTACACTTCCCTAATCATCACAAGCTATTTGCGGGACTGGCCTCGCCAAATAGCTACTTGCAAAAGATAAAAAAAAAAAATAGACCGTATGATACTAACTAACTAACCCCTATAACACAGAACGAGTAACCTCTATAGATTTAACAAAGTAGCACCCATGTATAAGAGTCAACAGTTTACTAATATTCAATAGAGAAGATTTGAACAGAGCATTGTAAAGCAGATCAGACCATAACAACTCTAAAAAAACATGGCTTAAGTTACAACATCAAATCAACTTCCCTATTTGAATTAAATTTTTTCTTATATTATATATTTAATTGTTTCTAATATAACATATATCCCGTGCATTTTGCACGGGTACACTCTAGTTATAATAGAAAATCAGTAAAGTTCAGCAAAATTAATTTAAGTATAGTAAAAATAATTTAAGTTCAGTAAATATAATTTTGTTTTAGTAAAAATAATTTCACTTTAGCAAATATAAGGTGAAGTGAATGAGACCTAAATGCATAAAATTTAGGGAAAAGAAGTACCTTCCCAGCTTAGAATTTTAGATTATAAGTTCCGTTATCTAAATCATACTCCTTACATTATTTTATTGATAATGTTATTTGGTGGGTTAAGGAGACGATGACTCTACTAAAGTACTGTTTAGTTCACCTTAAAAAAATTATTCAATAAAAATATAATAATTTTTAGTTCAGTAAAAATAATTTACGTTTAGCAAAAATAAAGTGAGATGAACGGGGCCTAAATTATGACCTTTTACAATTAAACCAGGCTAGTCTAGTTTTGCAGGTCAAGCTCTTGGGGAATAAGGATGGAAGGATAAATGAATCCCGACCCCAACCTAAGTACCATGACTGTTAGGAATCAAACTCGTGACCTTGAAATCATAAAGTAAAATCCTAGGAACTACACTAAGTACTACTTGGTTCATCTTTCCATAAATGATATACTCTTTTCGTTTCATAATAATCGCAATACATTGACCATGCACAACTTTGACCATTAATATTTGTAATTATATATTATTAATAAGAGTAGAAAAACTTTTTCTAATAAATATACATAAAGAAGAATATAAAATTAAATTTATTGCATAGCAATATAAGTTTTTTGATAAATTGATAAAAAAAAAATAGAGTCAAATTAGACATATGAATATTACAAAAGTCAAAGTATTGTGAGGGTTAGGATTGAATGAGAAGTTTATTAAAATGAGAAGAATGATAAGGAAGAAATGTGCAAAACTTTTTCATTAAATGTGGATATTTTTTCACTAAATGTGCATTGATTTTTGAACTAATAAAAATTTTGAATTTTCTGAAAAAATTAGAACATGTGCATATCATGTTTAAAATTTATGCACATTGATTTTTTTTTTTTCACATTTAATACAAAAGTTGTGCACATAAAATCCTTCTCATTTTATGGACCTTCTCATTTGACCATACATTTTAAAACATAAAAGTGGTAGATTTTGCCCTTTCACTTATTCTAATACCTCAAGTATCAAATAAAAGAAAAGATATATACTCTAGATCCATAACTAAACCAATTAAACATGTGTGGTATATTGGAATACTAGTAAGACTTGTAAGATTATTGGAGTAAGAAAAAATAAATAAAAAGAATCAAATATTTGAATAAAATGCTTTGAGATGTATCTAACATGATAATATTTTTTATACTCATATATTAGTGGCATATACGATAAAAGTTTAATCATGTCAAGATACATAATCACAATATTAAACTTAACTGATAAAATTTCAAACATGTATCATCAAGTACTTCATAAGTTCGTATATTAAATGAATAGAACATATTTATATGCTAAAAAAAGTCCTTTTTCATTAAAATTAGATAACATTCTCAAGCTTGACTTGAAACAATGGTTAACTCTAAAATTCATCCAAGAGAAAGCATTCAAAACCATGCCTTAGAAAAACACATATTATGGGTCAACATAGATTTGAACAACGCGGCATAAGACATAGTATTTCAATATGTTAGGATTTCTATCCATGCATTTTAATATTAGGACGACATAAAATTATGGTTATATCAATTATTATAATTTATCCAAAAAAAAAATTAAAAAAAAAATCCATACCATACTTTTGAATATTTGATAGGTGACCTATAACACTACAAAAATAAATGGTCGGCGAGCAAGCAAAGGTGACTCGGATATAGCCGATAAAGCTTATCCTTTCATAGTATGCAATTAATTATTATCAAATGTTTTGCGAGGTCTAATATAAGCAACTCATACATCCACAAACCCCACATAGATAGGATAATATGGAATCTATAAGATAAGGTTTTTTATTTATTTCAAAAGAAAAAGTTCCTTACTCCCAAATTTACATGAGGGTACATGATGCTTCTTGTATATCCTTAAGTTTTCTGGGAATTAATTCTCTATTTTGACTTTAACGCCTGTTAATAGTTGAATTAATTTTTTATTTTGACTTTTACTCCTGTTAATAGCATGTTACTATGTTAGTTATCTATTACATATAATTTTTTTAAAATTTAATATTAAAACTAATTTATAGCTATATTTTGAAATGATAACATTTAAAATATTTTATACAAAGTTTATTTGTAAAAATTTATTAGAATTAATGTATAAATAATGAAAAAGTCTATATAATAGTTTACCTATCAAAATTAGTTATAACATAATAATAAGTGCAAGATTAATAATCTTACATTTTCACCTTTTAAAGTGTCTAGGATAAGTCTATCCCATAACCTTAAAGTCATAAAATACAAATCTAATCTTATCAATAGACCAAACCCATATTTGGTTGGTATTAATATCAGTTGATCACTCAATCAAGCCAATCAAGAAGATCAACAAAAGAAATAAATACACGTGGCATGATCATGTTGGGTGATATGTTACTTGGTCCGTGTTACTTGGTGTCACCTTATCACCTCTTAGGAAGAGGCCAAGACAACAATCATCGTTAGACATGTGGCATAAATCATGTGGATATATATATTATATTATAAATATGCTCCCATAAAAGATTCAATCTTATATTTTGTTGTTGTATTATTAATACTATCTATTATAAACACAAATAGTATATATTCTCATCTCTCACCATTCCTTTCTATCATTATTGTTATTATTATTGTTATTTTTCTCTCTTCTTTTATTCTCTTTCTCTCCAAAAACATACAGAAATTAACACAAGAAAATGGAAGCATCACAATTTTTGAGATTTTATCATATAGATGAAGATCACAAGTTCATGAATAACATGATGGGAGAAAATCATCATCATCATCATGATGGTAAGTATGATCATCATGATGATACATACATCAGTGAATCATCAAGTTCATCCTCCTTTGAAGACTCAAACAACTCTAAGGAATCATCTTCATCGGATTTGCTTGATGATGCATCATCAACATCATCATCACCATCATCACCAAATGGACCCTTGTATGAATTATCCGACCTCATGAACCAACTTCCCATCAAGTAAGTTCCTTTATTTTAGGCCTTGATCAATATTAAAATGTGTGCTAAACGAGATCCTCTCCTATTACTAGACGGTCCACTTATTAAAGAATTTCAAAATTTTATACTCATTTTTTCTCTCTATTTTATGTCAATACTTAATATTTATTATAGCGAAATTATTGTGATGATATGATCCATGACATATTTACTTATCGTGTTTATTGTTATTATTAGTTTTTTCAGGAGAGGATTATCAAAGTTTTACCAAGGGAAATCACAATCATTTACGTCACTAGCAAAAGTGGCAAGCTTAGAAGACCTTGCAAAGAAAGATACTCCTTATCAAAGAAGATTAAAAGCATGTAAAAGTTATGGAGGTGGTTTAAATAATTATAAATCATATACTCTACCAAAATCTGGCATATCAAAGAAAAATTCAAAGGGTTCTTTATCAAATTTATCGTGTTTAACTAGGAAAGGTAGTTTTTGTAGACCTCCTCTAAGTCCTGTACAAAGTACCTTTTAATTTCGTTTTAACTTTTAATTTCAAAATTACTTATGAATTAAGTTATGATACATATAGAATTGGAGCCGAGTTTATGTGTTTGATCGATGAACATAGATACAGTGTTCAAATATACTTTGTATAATACGTTACATTATTTATTCAAATTAATTGAGGTTATCAAAGGCGAATTGGTTGGTTTATGAATGATATGATTTTGATTTTAATATATATCTTCAATCGATCCATCTTTGAGCTAGAACAGCTAATTGTTTACATAAACAACTTAATTAATTATATTATGATCCCATGGTATAGATGTATAATGCATGATTGCATAGTAATCTTTTGACAGCTTTTTATTATGATCTTTGAACTAGATCATAAAGATCTACTTAAACGATATATATTTTGGTAAAGAGATTAAGTTTGGCAGATGTACAACTATTAACTTATAACTATACAATACATCATACATGTGATCAAGCCAAACAATATTACGTAGTATTTAGCGAAAATTTATCATAATCTTGCCAAGGAAAATATGAAGGAGTGATATTTTCGAACACAATTTCTTTGGCAAACATCATAATATAACTTGCCTGGGAAAAATCTTTTCATAATATAAGCGTTTAAGTTTAATTTTCTAAACATTGAAAAGGGTTTTTGGTTAACGCACAAAAAAAATATAGTACCGAGTAACTTTTTTTAATTTAATAAGATTTGTTTATCAAAATTGATTGAAAATTTAATTGCTTACCAAAACTGAAAACTTCAAGCACAATTCCAATAAACTAATAAAGTATTGTGCTATTGTTAGAGATACTACCGGATGATAACTTATCTTATATTTTGGTAATATCTCATATTGTTGCGAATTATTACGTGACATACACACAATCAAGTAGGATATCAACTAAATTCCCTTGTGTCTTTGAAACACAATCACACAACACATCTAATACAAACCGGATGAATTCACTAATACGAGTGATAGAGTATAAAATCAATTTTTGGGCCTCAACTAATTAACTTAAAGGCGTTTAATTTTTAGTTGAAATGAAAATATATATGATATCCAAGAATAATCAATGATATAAAGGTAATGGGTTCAAATCTCATCCACTCCTCCTTTCAAGTGAAACATTAAGTTGGCATTGGGTATAACGGGGCCCATGTTGCATTCACATTTTTAATCCAACCGGCTCTCATGTAACAGGGCATGGTCAATAAGTAATAAGCTAAGTATAAAGAAGAATATACCCAACACTAAATCAACCGTACATATACAAATGAATAGTATGTAATATGGATTAAATAGCTTCATAGAGAATTTAATTTTCGGCCTCCATGGAATATATCTAGGTATAAATAACAAAAGATGTCTTTTTGATTAATTTATTATTTAATTTTCTGTATTTAGTGCGTCTTGTATACGGCTGGTCTCACCGTATGACCGCTTATAAAAGATCAAAGTAAACCTTAAAGTATTAACCGAGTAACCCCTATAACACTAACAAAGTAACCCTAAACACTAACCGGGTAACTCCTGTAACACTAATAAAGTAACCCTCATAATGACTGGCCACACGATGTGGTCAGCCACATATAAGAATTTGTGTTTTGTATATATGGCGGGGTTCAAAAGACCATTATATGTGGGTACCTTTTATATTTTATCACTTTGAAAATAATGAGAGTTAGATGAGATATGAACCCGTGGTCTTTTTATTGTGAAGAGTTTGTTAAACCATGATATATGATTAACTCAACCAAAAGATTAGGCTTTAATTAAAGTATTAGGATTTATTTCTTTCAATTTTTTTTTTTTTTGACAATAGCATTTCTTTCAATTTTGGTGAGAGGGAGAAGGGGAGAGGCAATATCTAATTGTTAAATTTGGCCATTTTCCAATCCATGGTTTTTTTTCCAATTGATGGTTTAATGTGTATGATTTATAAAAAATAGAGTTCTTGGTTTTTCTTTATGTATTTTATTATTATTTTACATAAATTAATTTATCTATCAGGTTCATAAAAAGCAATTTACTTTTTAAAATATTCATTATAATTGTTCTTATATGAAAAGAATTATGTTACATCAAAAATTTCCCTTAAAGTGAGACATGTAAAACATTCACATCAAATTTTCAACTAACTTTCAAAATAAAATTCCAAATGTTGAATAAATTGGGCTAATATTCTTAATTTAATTCCAACATGTCACATATGCGAATCCTGAATACCCTAGTAAATTCAGCCATTACAATTACGATTTGGGAGAGTGAAAAAAAAAAAGAAGAAAACAAAAAAGATTGAAGGTAAGAAAGTCAAAGAGGAAACATGACTAAAAATGTCCAAAATCTTGTCACTTACTTTGATTTGATGTGATTATATCTAGATAACGAATTTTTCTCTTCAACTTGTTTTAGATACTTATTACTTATTTTTCAATAAACTCAGATTAAATCAGACCAAATTAAACTAAGGCATTCAGAATAGATCATAATTTTCAATTATCATTTACTTATCGTTAAATATCGTTAATTGCGTATTAAATTTTTTTAAAAAGTACATATTTGAAAATTTTGTAATGAGACAATTCCAACAAAATCCATTTTGATTATGTTTTTCTTTATACATTAATACTAATATACGGTCAAAATTTAGTCAAATTATTAAATTAAATTAAACCATATCAGATAATAAATTCATATCAGATCATATTATATCTTATTAAAATCAAACCACAACTCTTTGTTACAGGTGGCGTGAACAAGTTCTATAAAATGAACATTTTTCTTAGGCTGCAAAGCGGAAATTGTTGCGCAAGTAGTACAAGCACACAGGTTTTGAATGTCAAATGTGAAACTTCAAGCCACCAACAAGATTTAAAATTTTATTAGGAAATTTCAAAGACAATCTGTAAAGTAAAGAAAATAAGTGGTGATCACTCATTGGCCGTTAAGTAATCTTAAAATTATAAAAATTATATAGATTATTTCTGTTATGAAATTCATTTTTGGAATAAATCTAATGGTCCATCAAAATCGAACTATTAGCCATCAAAAAATCTAATTATCTAAATGTACTACATATACTACGTAACTTTTTTGCAAAATTATTTAATAATTCAGATTTTTTAAGTGATTGTGTGTCGTGTACTCGTGTGGGTCGTATTAATGAGTCATGACATTTTATCCAAAAAAAAAGACATAACTAGGGGTGTCAAAAACTTACCCGGCCCGAAAGATTTACTTGAAACCGAACTGTTTTTGAACTAGTTGAACCCGAAAAGTTTTTCATCCAAATCGGTGAAATCAACCCGAAGTTAACTTAAAATCGATTTTACCCGGAAATTTACGATCTAAACCCAATTTGGTATCAACTCATTATTTATCCGAAACCAATAAAATCCGACAATTCAAGACCTGGATTCGATTTAACCTGAAACGAAATCTACCCAAAACCATTTATACCCGAAAAATACCTCATTTTACCCGACTTTTTTTTTTACCTGATTCAAAACTACTCGCAATCCTACTAACCTGACCCAAAACTTATGAGTTAATTAGTTAACAATTTTTTTTATTATATTGGAGATGGTGGATTTTAAATATAAGTGTAGTTAATGAGGGTTATGTTTAATTGTTAGTAGAAAAGAGAAATTCTACTAACAATTAAAAATGGGGTTCATAGGAGTGAAAGATAATAAAATACTTGTATAGAAAAAAGCTCTATAATGAGTTTAAAATTACATGATTGATTTGAATTGAGATCTAACCGAATTCGAAATGATTTGATTCATAGTCTATTAAATCAATTTTGACCCAAATAAACCCAATTAAATTCGAATCCGAGCTTAATTGAACTCGATATGACTCGACCCGAATTTGACTTGACCCGAATTCGATTTGTACCTGATCATACCTTGACCCACCTTTGACTCGAATATAATTAAGCTTAATCCGACTTGATTTGGTTTGTTAGGATAAAATGAGCCGTCATTACCCGATCCAAACACACTGACCCATCGTGGGTTAACCCAAACTCTATCTGAGTACCCGATTTGACACCTCTATACATAACTGACATATTTAGAGAGTAAAATGATTTTTTCTTGAATTAGAGCTTGTTTACATTTACAGAACTGAGCTGAACAAAGCAGAACTAAACTTATTAGAGCTGAGTTGTACTGAGCTGAACTAAATAGAGCTGAAATGAATATTTTATAAAAGAATGAAATTAGGAACTGAACTGAACTGAACTGATTGGAGCTAAACTGAACTGGACTGAACTGAAATAAACTAAACTGAATTGAATTAAACTGAACTTAAACTAAAGTGAACGGACAATTAATCAAATATTATTACCATTTCAGAGACAATGGATGTTTGGAGATCATTAAACCCATATAGGCCATAAAGCATAGTCCCTATTCAGTTATTTGCAGGACTAACATTTGCTGGTACATAATTTTTTTTTTTTAATTATAATATTTATTTAATTTTTTAACAAGCGTGGAAAACAACTCTATTGACATCTCTAACATGTAGTGTTGTCAAATTTCAAACCGAAATCGTTTAATTGTCCGAAACAAACCGATTCAAATGAGAACCGAACCGATCAAAAATCATTTTTTTGAAACCAAAAACCGACCCGAACCGTATGTGAATGAACCCGAAACCAAACCGATCTGAATTACGTTACAGTGTATAAGAACCAAACCCGTTAATGAACCGAACCAGTTCTAAACCAAACTGAAATAAAACTTAACCGAAAAAGAACCGAACTGTTTCTAACCAGAAACCGCTTTCAACCCGAAACCGTTTGAGCCGAGAAAAAAATCGTTTACACCAAATTGTTTATAAACCGAACCGCTTGCAAACCGAATCGTTTATGAACCAGACCGTTTATAAACGAATCGGCTACAAACTGCTTGCTATGAAGAGAATATTAAAATCAAGTTAGAATGTGTCTTTAATGAAATTCAATTATTATAGTACAAAAATTCTTCCTGCCAAATTAATATTTATTGAAAATTTATTATCATAGTATAAAATGTATTCTTGCCAAATTATTATCATAATATAAAATATTTTCCTGCCACTAAAAATCCTCATGCCATAAAGTGAACCGAAAAAGAATCGAACCAGTTATAAATTGAACCGAAAAAGAACCGAACCAATTATAAACTGAATCGAAAAAGAACTGAACTAGTTATAAATTGAATCAAAAAAGAACTGAACTGTTTCTAACCCGAAACCGTTTCCAACCCGAAACTGTTTGAACCGAGATAAAAACCGTTTACACCGAACCGTTAACAAACTGACACCCGTCTGCACCGAACGTTTACTACCCGGAATGTTTACAACCCGAACCGAATTAAAACCGCTCAAGAATAAACCGAAACCGAATCTAACCGATAACTATTTAAACCGAACTGGAACCGTTCGCGAGACACTTAAACCGATTTCAAACCGACCCAATTTAATATCGAACCGATTTTAAACTGAACCGAACCCAAACTGTTAAACCGTTTTGACAGTGCTACTAACATGTTATCGTCCCATAAAATCCAATCTTACAAATCAGTCTTACTGGGAGTTGAGGGAGGGTAACATAATTATTACCCCATAAAATCCCTGGGATAATTTAATTTCATGTTTTTTAAGTTATGAGGTCAACTTTTATCATTAGACCTAGCCTTGCTAGATAAATAATAATAATAATAATAATAAATAAATAAATAAATAAATTTGGTGGCTCAAACCATTATTTGTCCGAGTGAAATTATTGAAATACTGTAACTTAGAGTATAGCCAATGGTTGTCCATTTTGGGTGGGCATGAAGAGAGAGAAAAATAAAAAATAAAAAATAAAAAATGAAAAAGTTGTACTTTTGGTGAGAAATGATTCATGACCAGGTCATGGCCATGACCATTTGTTGAGTGTGAGCATTTAGTGGTATTTCGCCACTTGTCCAACAAAGAGAGGAGGTTTAATTTTTTTTTTTTTCAATTGATGAAGACTCACGTGGGAATGGAAGGAAAAGAGAATCAATGCCCACAAATTTGGAGGGCAACCAATGTGAGTGTATGGGCATGGGAGTTGGGCATAAATGAGGTGGAAGAGAGAGAAAGTAATAAAAAAATATGATGACCACCATTAGCTTGGGCATCCATTTGCTCTATAAAAGTAACAATGTTCTACAATTTGTTGAGTGTATATAGGCGCATAGCACCTATTTATTTAGCATGTATATAGGAGGGCGTTTTGAGGTTTTTAATTATTTTTTTTTTGTTTGATTTTTTTCTACAATGGTACATTCATGTGTATTATTATGCTACATTGGTTCATTCATATGTATTATTATGCATATATAATGTACAATTAAGTATAAGTTGTCTTAATAGTATTTTTTATGAACTAATATGCACGTAGTGATACTTTTTACCGTCATATTTTCCACCAAAATTCCTTCCACCTTGGCTCACTTGAAATTTACTTTTATTTGATAAATTTTAAGTTAATTTCAAGAATGTCATCCTATATGTTTGCTAAGGTATAGGTGGTATGTGCCTATGGTTATTCCTATTCGGTGACATGATGAACAAGAGCGGAACAAAGGGGACATGCAGGAGGCTCATCACCCACTAATTTTTGAAACTTTTTCTTTAAAAAAAAAGATACAAATATTCTACTATGTACCTTTTTATATACAGTAAATTATACAATTATTATTTTTTTTAAGAAAAGTTCATAATCATTTCACACGTAAAATAATTTAAAAGCTTAGGATGATAATTCCTTTTATACTAACTTATTCAATTAAACTAGGTGACATGGATAATATGTATTATATCAACCGAAGTTCTTAAAAACGTGTAACATGCATCGGTTATTATAAAACATATTCTTGCTAAACTACCAGGAAACATGGTGCGGACACAGTATACAAGTAGGAAGACTTACCTTTTTTATTTTTATTTTTTTGGGAAAATGGATTCCAATTCATCCCAACTTTTCATAACAAAATTAATCTATAAATATGCCCCTCCGTTGACATGAACATTATCCACAACAAAAAGCCAATTTTAAGGCAACTTTAATTGTGGTCCAAAAGATTAAAAAAATAATAATTTTTTTTTAAAAAAAAAGTCACAAGGATAAGATTATTAGGCCAATGCACAAATTTAAAGGAAAAGGCAAACATAGGTTAGTCACCATCATAACAAGAATAATGAAAAATAGCCCTAAAAATCTAAAATTATTCCACTTTTACTTCATAAAAGTATATCAAATATGATCATAATCAAGTACAGATTAATACCAACTTTCTACCCAAAAAAAAAAAAAAAAAAGAAAAAAGGCCTAACTTTGCAAATGTTGTGTAGTTAGACTATCTAAAGTTAATTTAAGCAGGAAAGCACTGAAATATGCTGCTTCTAGTAATGCTTAAGGTTGGACATAGCCACCAAAATGCTGTTTTCAGCTTCTGGGAGATACAATTCATTTAGCGCCCGGAGTCGTTGCGATCGCCTTAATGTTGTCCTTGTCCCTTCCTCTTTGACATCCTGTTTAAGTTTTTGTAAACAAGTTCAGAAGGCAATTGATCATCCTTTATACAAGTGCATAAGCAATAATATGTCGATGAAATTAGTACTATAAGATTTGTTATACTAGTATTGATTTTGTATGAATTACATCCTCAATCACATTAAACAATGTACTATTTAATTTATGTTTTCAAAAAAATAAATGTACTATTTAATTTATCAACTAAACTAGTGTAATTCTGTACAAACTACATATCATTGTTTCCAACATTAAAGTAAGGTGCATTCCTAAAGAGTTGGTAATTGTTTGTATATTAAAGTAAGGTTCATCTTGTAGTTGGCATTGGAAGTTTAGGAGTATGCTACTCGGACTCGTGTAAATCAAACTTATGGATCGAGGAGCCTCTCGTACAAGGCTTTCATGATCTATGAACTTAGGCATGGGATAATAACCAATTTAAGGCAAGGGAATTGAGAACAGTCTCAGACTAATCAATTTATGATCTACAGAAGAGTGTGATGATCAGAATTCAGAACTACAGAAGTGCATATCAATAGATTATGTAGTTTTTAACAAACAAACGGATTATTTCCCACATTTGTTCAATCAGAGTATAATTAGCTAAATTCACCAATAATGCAAACAATCAAATTGAGGAATAATCTATGTAACAATGATCAGTTTATCACAAAAGAAGTTAATGTTTAAGCTTATTCTAACGATGAAATTATGCATAACAAAATAACATTCTATACAAAATGATGAAGCATCAATATCAGTACTATGATAATAAAGCAATATAATCAGAAATAAGGCCAAGAAATTCTACACATTTTATAGCTCAAAATAAGAAATCAAGGCCATACCTCTTGCTTAGCAAACTCTGAAGCACAACTAGACACCTTACTCTTCTTTGCTTTTCTTTCACCAGTCACAGCAAACACACTTTCCTCCCTGTTTTGCATATCCTACCACTGAACTCACCTCCAAATTCAATCTTACCGAGCTGTTCACCTTCGGATTCCTTCTAGGTGATGGAGTCTTCTCCCTCTCCTCCCTAGACTCAACAATACCAACTATCATATAACCATTTATCTGAGATGGTCTAAAGAAGCTCTCTCCTTTCATTACGGCTGCAGATTTTCTTATCCTATATGTAGCAATAGCCTTTGTAAAAGCCTTCTTACTCTTGCGAAACACATCAACACCATCAAATCCACCACAACCAACCAAGCTAATCCAAATATCCAAATAAATTTCATTTGGGTTATTTTCACTTCTTTTAACCATCAATTTCAACAGAGTTAATTTCATATCATCAACACTTCCTACCTTTTTTCTGCGAAACTAATAATTTTCTCTTCCAAATCACCCAATTTGGGTTCAGAAACAGCAACATCAGAAACCAGATTTTTCACTTCATTTTTAGATTCAGCAACATTGTGGTCTTCTAAACATCCATCAAACCATCATGTTCTTCTAAAGTAGTTACTGAGTTGCCTCCAATTTCCTCATCTCCTTCAACTGCAGGAATATAATAAGGACCTGCATCACATTTATCAAATTCCAAATCTTTAAGTGCGTGTCTTCTTATATAGTTATGCATCGCATAGCCATAGTAGCTGCAACAAGTTTCTTTTGGTTTTCCAACAGAAAGCTGGGAATGATTGATAATATCCTCCATCTTTTTTTCCGTACACCAAATCTTCAAGCTGGGATGTAGCAGAATGTTTCTCGGATAGCAGCAGTTTGGTTCACATTGACAGTCCCTACACATAGGCTCGTGCTTCGGTTTGCTATGAAGGGTAGACTGATGATTAAGGACAAGATGCGTAAATTGGTGTACGCTCATCAGCATAAGTGTTGCTGTTCATTACTCAGTCAGAAAACTAATAATTTGGTTGATGTTTAGATAGTGGAGATTTTGTGCCATATCAAATTGGTGTAAAAATTAAGGTTATATTTCTAAGGACATACAAATTAAATTGATGATAAATTGATAGTTAGCAGATCAAACCTAAATTTCTATTCTCAAATAGCACTCTTCATCAAAGCTAATGGCACCAACACAAGCAACACTCTAGAAACATCCAGCTTCATATAATACACCATTCTCATACCATAAAACAAATCATAGTCTTATTAATCAATTCATGCCTAACAAAATCATTCTCATTTTTTCTAGTAAACTATTAATCGAGATTAATATTGAATATAATTGATTCAAACAATCCAAAATCAACTGTTATACATATATTTAATTACAACCATAAAACTTTAATTGACACTATCATATCTAATTGACAACGAAAGAACCCAATTAAAATACATAGAATCAAAATTGAAAATTTCAAGATCAATTTTTGGACCACATTACTAACCTCATTAGCAGAACTTCTTATGAGTGAAGTATTGGGATGATTTGGATGAGGAGAACCACTAAGATTTTAAAATCTACAGTACATAAAATCAATGCAAAGAATTAGGGTTCTACCCACAAAAAGAGAAGTAATTTCCATAAATTTTATAAATTACCTTATAATTGCTTAATAGTGTCCTCCTGGGTGGACCGAGAGGTGGCCATGGAGAAAGTAGGAGGGGTTGAATTTCTTGAGAGAAAGAGCTAAAATATTTGATAGATGAGACATAAAATTTGTTGTATAGAATCGAGTGTACATAACAAGTTCTACAAAGAGTGGAGGGGTTACTTTTTTTTTTTATTATTATTATTATTTTTTTTTAATGAGATATGAGAGGTCTTTTTTTTGTAAAATGTTAGGGGTGTTTTTTCTAATTACTCCCTTTGTCCCATATTATTTGATATACTTTCTATTTTTATTTGTGTCACAATTAGTGCTGTGAAATTTCAAATCGAAACTGTTAAACTTTCCGAAATAAACCGACCCAAATGAGAACCGAGCCGATTAAAAATCGTTTTTTTGAAATAGAAAATTGACCCAAACCGTATGCGAATGAACCTGAACCGAACCGATCCAAATAACGTCACACCGTATAAGATCCGAACCCGTTGATAAACCGAACCAGTTCTAAACCGAACTGAAATCAAATCGAACCGAAAAAGAACCGAACTGTTTCTAACCCGTAACCGCTTTAAACCCAAAACAGTTTGAACCGGGATAAAAACTGTTTATACCGAACCGTTAACAACCCGCGACCCGTTTGCACCGAACTGTATATAAGTCGAACCGTTTATAAACAGAACCGTTTGCAAACCGAATCGTTTATGAACCGGACCGCTTATAAACGAATCGGCTACAAACTGCTTAATATAAAGAGAATATTACAATCAAGTTAAAAGGTGTTTTAAATGAAATTTAATTAGTACAAAAATTATTCCTGTCAAATTAATATTTATTGAAAAATTATTATCATAGTATAAAATATCTTCCTGCCAAATTATTATCAAGTATAAAATATCTTCCTGCCAAATTATTATCATAGTACTCCGTATAAAATATCTTCCTGCCACTAAAAATCCTCCTGCCATAATTGAACCGAAAAAGAACCGAACCAATTATAAACTGAACCGAAAAAGAACCGAACTGTTTCTAACCCGAAACCGTTTCCAACCCGAAACTATTTGAACCGGGATAAAAACCGTTTACACCGAACTGTTAACAAACTGCAACCCGTCTGCACCGAACCGTTTACTACCCGGATTGTTTACAACCCGAACCGAATTAAAACCGCTCAAGAATAAACCGAAACCGAATCGAACCGATAAATATTTAAACCGAACTGAAATCGACCCGCGAGACACTTAAACCGATTTCAAACCGACCCGATTTAATACCGAACTGATTTCAAACCGAACCGAACCCGAAATGTCAAACGGTTTTGACAGTGCTAGTCACATAGTTGACACATTACTAAATATGGAATGGGAACATTAAAAAAAATATTTTCACACATTTTCTCTCTTCACCTATCCCACTTTCACCTCACTTATTATTTTTTGTAATATAAAAATAGAAAAGTAGAGAATGTTTTATACAATAAACAAATGTTTTACATAGACCTACTTGTAGTTATTTATTATTAATAGCAAAAAAGTTTCATTAATTAAAAGTCATGCGACATTTACAATATAGATTCGACGTTAACAAATACATAATATATTGAATCAAATAAAATTTTTCTTCATAAAAACTACGATTGTCGACTAGACCTTGTACTGTGGAACATCTCCCGCTTATATCGCCGGAAAATACAGTCTTATTGGAGAGATAATCTAATGATCCTTTGTAGTCGTGAGGATGTTTTTCTTCTGATTCATCTGTCTGCATTCGAAAACTCGATAACTTTTTCACCAATATAATAATTTCACGACAATCCATTAGATCTAATATAATAAATTCAAAACTAAGAAATTTCTCCCCCGAAAAGAGGAGATAAACCCTGTCTTTCGAAGTAGGTCGAAAAACCCTTGTCTTTCGAAGGAGATCAGAAACCCTTTCTTTCGAGGGATAAAAGTTCCTCCCAAAAGGATGAAGCATTATTATAAAACCTAAAAAAACTTTAGGAAAATTCTCACTGGTAATCACGAACTTTTATTTTTTCTTAGTGGTAAAATCTGAAACTTTTGACTATCAATGGTAATCATGAATTAATATTACTAAGTCAATGGTAACTTAAATTAAGCAACATGTTAATTCTTAATCATGGTTTAATTGGTGGACTGTAAAAAGACACACTTACGTATACCCCCAACCAATTCTTTCTTCTTTCTTTCTCTTTCCCCCTCCATGGTTCTTTCTTCCTTTCTCTTTCCCCTCCCCAGTGCACCTCCCTTTCCAGCCACTTGCACCGCTGCCAACTCCCATCCCTGCACCCCCGCCGCTACCCATCTCCCTTCCTTGCACCTCGCCGCTATCCACCTCACTTCCCCGCCCCTACCTCACCGTACCATTTTCCCCGTCAAAACCCTGAAAAAACCCACCACCTCCCTAAAAAACAACTGAAATCCATACCCCTCTCCCTTCGAAACGCAATGCAACCTCACTCACACTCAAATTCAAGGGTTGATGAAGAAGTTATTCTTATTACATTGCTGTCGTCCACCTGTTGTTGTTGTTGTTGTTGAATTGGTTTAATTAACCTCTAATTCACAAGCACAACACATAACATCCCCCTTAAAATTTATTTAAATAAAGCTAAAAAAAAATTGAAAAGGGGTACTACGAGAATCGGTTTCGGTGTGTGATGAGAGGAGAGAGAGAGTGGGTTGGGAACAGGGGTTGGAAACACGGTTTCGGATGGGATTGCAATATCGGTGGGGTCTCCGGCGAGGGAGTGGTTTGAGACACCTCCACCCTGGCCGAGCTTAGCGCCGACAATGGGAGGGGGCTGGCGGTTGGTTGGGTGGCCGGGGTTTGGATTTTTTTTGTGTTTTTTTTAAATCATTTGGAGGGTACTAATGTAAATTTAGTGTTACTTAACCAAGATTAACCCTAGTAAATCGTTTTATTATCATTGGCTTTGTAACATTAATTTGTGATTACCATTGATAATAAAAAAATTTCACAGTTTACCATTGAGAAATAATAAAAATTCGTGATTACCAAAGAGAATTTCCCAAAACTTTAAAGAAACTAGGATTGGGGCTTTCCATCAATTAAAACCGATGGAAGCACCTTTAAATATCAATAATGGAGGCTAGGGTTTTGGAGAGAGGAAGGAGGAGATAGGAGAGAAGGAGAAAAATTATCTGATTTTTTTTACCTACTTGTAGTTTTCTTAAATTACGTGTTCACCCCAACATATCAAGTATTATAGGAGCGAGGGAGTAAAAAAATTCAATAAATAGGAATACAACTTTTCGAAAAACAACCCTTAAAAAGCTACAAATTGGTGTTTCTTATCTTTTCCTCCCTTGTAATTCCTTGTTTAACCCTATTAACCAATTTTTATTTCTTTGATTGAGAAATTGCTTTAGAAATTAGGCTAAATAGCTCTTGAATAATTAAACCAAAAATCACAAAAAACCCAATTGAAAAACACCCATTCCACCTTTTTTTTTTTAACTTCAACTTCCTCCTCCATTTCTTGATCAAGTTTTTCCTCACTTTCAACCACATTACAAGAACTCTCAAATCAAGAAAATTTCTTTTGGGGCTGTCAATAACTTGCATTGTAAAATAAGGGGTTCAAGGCTGCAAATAAAGAATGAATAATGCATGTATTTGATCAAAGGAAGACGGTGTGGTGAAATTTCGTCACTACCTTAGAAAATTAATTCCATCGCAATCAAGGTGCATAACTGTATCGCCGGTACGTTCCCTAAGATTACACACCACTCCCACACACAACGCTTTTGGGTGAAAGGTGGATTTAAAGTAAACTTATGCCCAGTATGAGTAGGGTTGTACATAGTGCGGTTTAGGCCGCACCAAACTGTAATTTTGCGATTTGGTACAATTTGCATGTAATACCCCGAAATTTTGAAATTTTTTTTTTAATAATTTATTCAATTATTTGAATTGGGAGCCAAAATTAATTTTTAGAGCCGAACATAAGTATCTAATTATTTGAACAATTAATTATTTTAATACTTTAAATCAATAATAACAATTAATTATTTTGGTCAGTTCATATTTAATGATGTACAACTATTTTAGTTTGATATTATCTAATATATTTTTACTTGATTATCAAATCATTATCTTAAACTATTTTTTTTTTAAAAAAAAAAACAAAATTATTATTATGTTGGCCGTGAGTTAGTTTCTTGAAGGTGGCTTACTTATGGCTTTATCTTATGGCTTTATCTTATTAAACCTCTTAATTTATCTTACCTTACCTTCTATCTTCCTTAACAAAATTAGCATCTATCTTACTTCCATCTCTAATCTTTTTCCATTGGATTTTCCCACATGAATTAACCTAGACTAAGGGTCTGTTCTCTTACGTTGAAATTCATTTCAGTTCAGTTCAATTCAGCTCCTAATTTCCTTCTCTTATAAAATATTCATTTCAGTTCAGTTCAATTCAGCTGAGTTCAGTCAATGAGAACATGCCCTAAATTTCACTCATATTCATTTAACAAACTTAAATTTATCATGTTTCTATGCTTATCTCATTCCTCCTTGAACTTTATCTTACTACCCCTTAAACACTATCAATAGACCGTCAATCCTTCACAAATTCCTCACACCAAAACTCAGAACTCTTTACTCTACTCTCAACCTCACGCCCTCTTCTATTCCTTTCTTGCTTGCTCAATTAAACACCACAACCGCACCACCATTTCTACCAACCATACATTACCTTTTCCGCTACCTTTTGTTGCCTCTAAACTGTCCTGCTGCCGTGACCTGCTGCTAGAAGGTGGAATTAGCACTTTCTTTCTTTCGCCCTCCTTTTTGCAACAAGAATTCTAGCACTATAATGACGACCCTTTACTTCCTTACATCATCATCATCATCATCATCATGAGTATTATTATTATTATTATTATTATTAATTTATGATACTGGTGCTATTTTGATGCCAACGTTAGACTTTAATACTAATGTTACTATTTTTAGTACTAACATATGCTATTTTTATAAAAAAAAAAAATTAAAAAAATCGATTTGATAAGGTTAACATTTAGGTAGTTCATGCACAATAGAATGGTATTTATGGTTTTGTGTTATTTTGTTAACCATATAATAATTAAGGTTATTTTATTTGTGTAGGAGGAGTCCCTCGGTCGTGGTCAAGTTTAGTAGCCGTACCTTATTGTTCTCGTGATCAAGGTACGTATAGGTGGCTAGGTCCTTGATACAATTTTGAATGTGTGTTTTGGAAACTGTTTGTTTTAATGATTGTTTGAATAAATGTTACGTATAAATATTTAAGTTAATGATTTTCATGATGAATTAAAATACATAATTTTAAGATTTAAAGGTTTGATCTCTAAAGTGTTGATTAATTTAATAAAAGTTGTTTAATTTATAAATCACTTGATTTAGTGTGAATATCCAATATCATGAGGGGAAATCTAATGTGGTAGCTAATGTTTTAAATAGGAAAACCGGTCATTTGATGGATATGATGATTTTACCAGACCAGTTGTGTGTGGAATTTCGGAAGATGAATTGGAAGTGGTGGAGCACAGAGAGGTCAGTAAGATGTTGAATGCCTTGGCAGTGCAACCTTCTATTTATGATGAAATTAGGGAAAGTTAGTTGGGAGACTCGAAGTTGAAGGCAAAAAAGAGAAGATTGAGAAAGGGAAGGTTTTAGACTTTACTATTGCAGCCGAGGGAAGTATTCGTTTTAAATGGAGATGGTGTATTCCACAACATCGTGGGGACATCAAGCAGAGACTGATGGAGGAGGCCCATAACTCTCCTTATTCAATGCATCTTGGAGGGGATAAGTTGTATAAAGATATGAAGAAGGTCTTTTGGTGGCCATACATGAAGAGTGAAGTAGCAGAGTTTGTGGCAAAATGCTTAACATGCCTGAAGTTGAAGATAGAGCATCGAAGGCCACAAGGAATGGTTCAATCCTTGGAAGTACCACTAGTGGGATTCGATCGCCATGGATTTTGTGGGGGCATTACCAAAAACCAGGGCAGGAAATGACACAAGTTGGGTTATTGTGGATCGATTGACTAAGTCTGCAACTTTTATACCTATGAAAAACATTTGGTCTATATATGGATCAATTGGGAAGGGCATATGTGAAGTTTGTGGTGAAGTATCATGGAGTTCCTACAGATATTATTTCAGATCGTGATTCGAGATTCCTATCTAACTTCTGGCAAAGTTTACAAAAGGCCATGGGAACTAAGTTATTGATGAGTACAACTTTTCACCCTGCAACTGATGGTCAGACTGAAAGGACCATACAGACCTTGGCCACCAAAATCTTATAAACGGACCTGTTTATAACTCGGGCAAACGAATGTCTTTCTCTTATTTGGGTTATCTCACCTCTATAATTTGAAAGCTATGTTCTTAGAATCTTAATAAGCTATGTGTATATCCGAGTGCAAGAAGTTTCTAAATTTCTAGTCGACTACATAGTGTTTTGGAGTCAAATTTGACTACACAGCCATGTGTAACTCCATACACGGTAATGTAACTTAACGTAGTATAGTTAGGTAGCACAAGTTACACTAGAAAATGAGGATGCACAGTCGAGTATATATATACATATATATATATATATATGTATATACATATATATATATATATATATATATAGGGGAAGGCTCTTATGAGAATTTAGGTCTTATATGAGAAACTCACTTATATGAGAATACATCTTAGCCGTAGATTAGATTCAATCTAACCGCCCAAAACATTCTACAGTAATGGCAAAATCGTAATTTTGTTTGCTGATATACCCCCTTCTCTTTTTTCACTTTCACTGATTTTTTTCTCTCTCTAAAATTAGGTTTTTCTCTCTCTAAATTCCATCCACTCTCTAAACCCTAGTTCATGCATGCTACTTCGTGAATCAGAATATGGATTCAAATCAAATTCTACCAACATCTCCAATTGTTACTTATGAAAGAAGGTAATAAGTTTATGTTTATGAATTTTGATTATATTTTTTCACATTTTTCTCCTCTTTTTTTTGTTAATTTTCGTTAAATTTTTTGTAGATCAATCGATTCACAATGTATGGATAAATCTCCAATACAAGCCATTTGTCCATCAAATCAGTAAGTAGAGATTTTATTAGGGTTTAATTATTTGATTTTGGTTTAATTTTTAAATTATCATGTTTGAACACAAAAATTAGGGCTCAGTTTTGCTCGATTTGGGGGGGGGGGGTTTGGCTCGAATTTCTTAAGCATATATAGTATTAGTTAACTTCCATTGGTTTTGGTGTCAAATTTGTTAGGTTTTTACAAATCATTTTTGGATGCTTATAACCTGTTCGATAAAATGCTAACCTGAAATTTAACTTGAGGCAGTGATTTGTATATAGGCTACTATGATTAAAGAGTAAGGGACTAGCTTTAGACATGCATAACTTGGAAAAGAAACTTAGCAACTAGAAAAACTCGAAACTCGGCAGGGCAGCAGCAGCTACTGCCTAGCTTGCAGCAGCCTCGGCAGGGCAGCAGCAGCAGCAGCTGCAGCAGCTGCAGCCTTGCTAGCAGCAGCAGCTGCAACCTTGCCAGGAGCAGCCTCGGCAGGCAGCATCAGCTGCAGCCTTGCCAGGAGCAACCTCGGCTGGCAGCAGCAGCTGCTGCCTAGCCAGGCCACCTGCAGCAGCAGCCTCGGCAGGGCAGCAGCAGCTGCAGCCTTGCAGACCACGGCAGTAGCTGCTGTAGCCTTGCCAGGACACTGGCAACAACAGCCTTGGCAGGGTAGCAACAGCTGCTGCCTAGCCAGGCCACTGCAACAGCAGTAGCTGCAGCCTTGTAGACCACGGCAGTAGCTGCTGCAACCTTGCCAGGACACCGGCAGCAGCAGTGTTGGCAGGGTTGCAGCAGGTGCAGTCTTGCTGAATTATGGCCTTGTCTTTTTTTTTGTGTGAATAAAATTAGGCTGCCAAGATTAGCAAGTGTACCTTGTTTTTTATCTCTGTTTTAAGCTTCTAACCTACTCTTCTTTTTTTTTTTTGTGAATAGTGATGGTGATGAAGCACTTGTCAAAAAGAAAAAAAGTGATGGTGATGAAGCTGTAAAAATGATGTGCAGTGGTCTAGAAGTCCAATTGTGGAGTCATCCTTACTGGAAGCTATAAACAACGATCACATTCAAAGTTTTGTAATCATCAATGGATATTGATTAATTTTTTATGCATGTTAGATATGTTCTAAAATTTTACTCATATGTTCTAAAACTTTACTTGTATGTTCTAAATTTAATTCTAATTTTAACTCTTATTTTACTCACATTTTTATGTTTTCCTCTTGAATTTTGTTCAGTATTGCAGTATGTACACATTATAGTTCAATTGTTAATTTTTGCTACAAGTTTATGTCTAAATTTTTTACTCATATGTTCTAAATTTTTGTACAAATGTTCTAAATTATTACACATATGTTCTGTTCTAATTATTCCCTTGTGTTCTAACCTTTATATATGTTATATGTCTATAACTTGCAGTGATAATCTTGTTGGTGTTGATGCTGCTACAACCTCTAATCAGTTTGCTACAACATCTTCTGGAAATGCAAACAAGAGTACCAATGTAGATAATAAAGAAGGTGATCAAATTAAGGGGAAACTTAAAGTTAGAGCTAAAGATGTTCTGAAAAACAAAGCAATGAAGAAAGAACCAAAGAAGGAAGGCAGAGGGAAAAAAAGGAAAAGAAAGGTTGATGAGAGTGATTCTGATGATGATATTGAAGTTGTTCATGCAGATCAAATGGAATGTAGAGCATTAAGTCAACGAATTACTCCCAAGAATTTTATGAACACCGTGCTTAAAGATTTGCCAAAATCTCATAAGGCAGCTATTAGAAAAATTGGCTTTGGAGGTTTCTTAGATTTGGATTTAGATGCACATAAATCTGTATTTTGCTCTAAGCTTGTGTCGAGTTTTGACTGTGATAGGGTGTCTTTAGTTCTTGAGAGGAACCAAGAGATTGAAATTACACCTGTAGACATACATTTGGTTTATGAATTGCCGATGGGAGGAGAAATTATTAAAGAGCAGCAGCAAGAGGAGGATGAAGAATGGGTTGATTTTATTAGACAATGGAGATCTTATTTTGGGTTAAGTTGTGGAAGTCCATCCAACTCTGTGATTATTAATCGAATTGAAGAGTTAAAGAAGCAACCTGTGTGTGATGAATTCATTTGGCATTTTATAGTTTCTGTTGTCAATTGTTGTATGAGATCCACTGCCAACCCATCGTTAAATTACAGGTTCTTGTATAGTTGCATGGATACAAAGAAGATCGAATGTTTGGATTGGTGTGAATATGTTTATAGGAGTTTAAAGTCATCTGTATCGGAATGGCAAGGTGGTTCAGCTTTCTTCACCGGTCCATTGCCTTTCTTGATGGTAATTTCTTTTTTTTTAATATATTGTACATTTTTATATTAATTTGTCTTTTTCTAAATTTGTCCTTGTTTAACGCATTTTTTTTGTATATTTGTATTAGATATGCTATTTTGATCGTTTGCAAAGATCTAAAATAAGCAATCTAAGGCAATTCCCACTCATGTCTGTTTGGAAGAAAGATTTGCAAGGAACGGATGAAATTGGAAATGAAAAGAGGATTTGGAAAGGGACATGTACTTGATAGAATGGAAGTTGATAGGTATGATAACAATGTATCACAAGTGGCTGGAGATCCCGAACTTGGTGGAAGTGATGTTAGTGGTTCTAATGAAATGCTGGTATGCATTTTTTTGGAACATGTTTTAAACTAAAGTCTTATTATAGTTAGTTATATGTTCTAAATATTTTATTATTTGTTCTAAATATATACCCACATGTTCTAAATATTTAGTCATATGTTCTAAATATATAAAGTGGATGTTCTAAACTTAAATCAGATGTTTTACATGGTTATTCAATTGTTCTAAATTTATATAACTTTTGTTTGTTAGGAATTCCTTCAAAAATTCGGAACATTGGCTAAGAAGCTTGCTGAGAATTTAAGTGAGATGCATGCCATGTTGGATAAGGCGAATGAAATATTTGCTAAAGAAGAAGCATATGATATGAACACATTTATTCAGAATATTTGGAATAAGTATTCCATGAGAAAGGAAGAAAAACAAAAGGACAGCCCCTCCATTCTAAGTCAAGACAAGCATTTGTTTGACGAACGAGCTTTCATCAAGGAGTTAGATGATGTTATGAAAAGATCATGGGAAAAGTTCAAAGGGAAGAAAAAGACGCCTTTTGAGATGACTCCTCCGAGTTTTGATTTGTTTTCTCATTCTCAAACACCTACTCCTCCTCACACTCATGAGCCTTCTTCCCCTCTTCCTCCTCCTCCTCAAACTCATGAGCCTTCTTCCCCTCTTCCTCCTCCTCCTCCTCAATTTCAAGGGTCTTCTCCTCCTCTTCCTCATCCTCAAACTCAATGACCTTCTCCTCCTTTTCCTCCTCCTCCTCCTCCTTCTCAAACTCAAGGGATTCCTCCTCCTCCTCCTCAAACTCAAGGGTTTTCCACTTCAATTTTAGGAGGAGCATGCTCAGGTGCTAAAGTCCAACAATATGTTCATGGAAAGAAGAACAATATTCAAGCAAATGAAGTGAAGAACAAGAACAATGATGAGAAAGAAGATGATAAGATGGAGGGGTAATGTAGTTATGTTTAGGGACACTATTAATTATTGATGAATTAATATTTTATTTTTTAAGAACACTAATTATTAGTTTGTTTGTTTTGGGACACTAATTATATATATACATTTATAATTTTAGAATTTGTGGTATTTTTTTTTTGAAATATTCTGCTCATTAAATATTTGTATTCGTTCACCTATATATTTACAGGAAAGGAAATGTAGGAAAAAGGGAGAAAAGATGTCCCGAAAACCTTCCAAACTGTATTCGTTCACCTTTTATAGTTCAGTATGACAACATATTCAAAAAGGTTGATGGACACAAGAAGAGAATGGCAGAGTATGCATTTTCCAATGGATTACCTAAGTAAGCTCTAAATTTACTTAGTAATTTTAAAATAATTAGTCATGTATTCTGATTTGTTAATCATATGTTATAAATTAGTATTCATATGTTCTAAATTAGTATTCATATGTTCTAACTTAGTATTTATATATTATAAGGTTTAATCTTATATTATAACATTTAATGCTATTTGTTTTTATGTTTGTAGTGAGATTTTATATGATGATGGTCAAACTACAATCCGTAGTGATGAGATGTCAAGCCTTGCAGCGAACAATCATGTGTTTAATAACATTGTTGATGCTTGGTCATTCATATTGAACATTGAAAACAGAAGACGAACCCCAGGGTCAACAAACAGATTGTTTTTTTCAATGCAAGCTTATGTATGATTCTTAATATTGAACTTGGCTTCTTTCATGTTATAAATTGAGATTTCATAACTTATTTTTACATGATTTCAGGAAATTTTGTGTACGAATTATCACTTTTCTCCAACTGTGAAAATTCAAGATAGATATCATACTTTATTTGAAAGGTTGGATAAAGAGATGAATCACTCTAAAGTGCAAAACTTTGATAGAGTTCACTTGGTAAGACATTAAGAAATCCAAAAGAATTTGAATATAGATTTTCTTCTTTATAAGCTTTCTTCTTTTTTTCTTATTTCGATTTCATGATCTATTATTATATGCAGGTATTTTTTCCAGTTGCATCTTCATCACATTATTACCTGCTTTGTGTGAATTTTCTCAACAAGACTCTCGACGTGATTGACAACAGATATTTGGAATATAAAAATTCTTTTTGGCACAAATACAAAAACAACCCGAAGAATTTGGTAATATCTATCTGTCTCATTTACTTGTGCTTAGAATTAGATTTTCTAAACATTTATTTCAATGTTCTAAAGTTTAGCTCAGATGTACTAAAATTATACTCATATGTTCTAAATCAGATGTTTTTAAAAAATTTCATGTTCCAAATAGTACTTATACATTCTTAATATTTTCTAATACTTATTTTAATGTTTAATTTTAGTTGAGGGCTTTTTCCATGTTCTTGTCAACCAAGAGATCAAAATGCGATCAAGAGGTTTCTAGTTTCAAAACTAGGACGTTAAAAATGAGTTGGAGGACAAATGATAACAATGATGATTGCGGCGTGTTTTTGCTTAAACACATGGAAACCTATCATGGTGAGAAAGATACCAATTGGGATAGCGGAATAAAATTGAATGATGTAAGTTTGTTTTATAGTATTACTCATGTTCATATGTTCTAAATTTTTATACATATGTTCTAAAATTTTATACATATGTTCCAAATTGTGTAAATCTTATTATTATTTTTTTAATAATGATGTAAAAAGTGAGATAGCGGATACCAAAGTGTAATGATTTTATCTTATTATATTGCAAATCAATCAAATGAAGAAATTGAGGGTGGATTTTTGTGCTAAGATATTATCACACAAGGAAAATGAGCTACATCATGAGATTACTTCATGATCACGGAAATGGGCTAAAGAAAATAGTTTGTAATATAATTTTAGAAATAGCATGTAGAATTTTGTATAGTACTTTAAATTGTAAGCCTTCACTCGCAAACTATTTTTCTAAAAGGTTGTATTCGAATATATAAGCTTGACTTGTCTTTCTTGTGATCAAAATACTAATTATAACTCATATGTTCTAAATTTTTAGTGATATGTTCTAAACATTTAGTCATATGCTCTAAATACTAATTATAATTCATATGTTCTAAATTTTTAGTCATATGTTCTAAAGTTTTAATCATATGCTCTAAATACTATTGTCAAAATATTACTCATGTATTTAAGAACTAAGAATTTAAGTGATTAATTTTAATCATATGGTCTAAATCAAAATTTTGAAATTGCATTGAAACCATACACCACACATGATTACTAATTATAACTCATATATTCTAAAATTTTAGTCATATGTTCTAAATTTTAATACAAATATTCTAAATTTTAATACATATGTTCTAAATTAAACTCACAAGTTCCAAACTATAATCATTTCTATAATAGAAAAAGTGTTATTCAATACGCAAATTCAAAAAAATGTTCCAAAATTATTAAGTATCATCTAACTTTTTTTGGACAATTTCGAATATCGTGGTGACTCAATTCCCCACAACCTTTGCATAACCTCTTTTTTTTTTTTTTTTTTTTTTTTTTTTTTTCTGATTTTGTTCTACCGCCTTTTCTTTGTCCCCCTTTAGTCTTTTCCCACTTCCAGATCTTGTTTCAACATTTGAAGTCTCTATAGATCTTGTTTCAACATTTGAAGTCTCTACAGATCTCGTTTCAACATTTGACAAATGAACTCCTGTACCTTTGTTCTTCGAAATTTTTGGAGGTTTGATAGATATTTCACTTGGAACACTAGCTCCAATTAATAGTTCTATGTCTTTTTCTTTGTTAGTAGCATTCCTTTCACCATTACTTCTTGCATTTATTTTAGCTTCCAAATCCAACCTCAATCCTCGAAGATTAATCACAAGGTCTTTAATATCTTCATCGTCACCCTCTGCCAAACTAACACAATTATGTATCTCTGACCACAACTCATTCAACAACTTTTTCTTGTCGATTATATTGGCACATTGTTCCAACAGATTTCCTCCTAGGTCAAATATTGGTCTTTTCGTTGCCATAGTAGTCCATCTGTTTAGAATATATTGCTTAGGAATAATTTCAAACCGTTTTGCTTTACAAACCCAAACCATGTGCCTGCATGGAATGCCTTGCCTATAAAACAACTTGCAAGAACATGTTGTCTCTTGGTTAGTCGGATTAAACATAACATCAAATGTTCTACTCCGACCCCCTTCACTTAATTTTGCAATTTCTAATCCATTTTCTCTCTTAAACTCTTCACACCCACAAGCAAAACAAGCCATTTCTACCTCATATTCGAAATCATAAAAAACAGAAATAGTGTATATGGTTGAGGCATACTTTTCTATCCCTAGTGGTGTCTTGCACTCTGGGTATTTGTGCTTTGAATCATTGTCGTTTTGACCTTGAGCGTGTCTTTGGGCATCAATTGCAGCTTCATATCTCACGTAAAACTCAACAAGTGACACGTGAGGATTGATAAAGGAGCAAAAAAAGTTATTTTCACTTTCTGATCTTGACGTGGTACACATTATTCCTCCCAGGAACACATCTCTGAAATATGCCAGAATCCACTTATCCCTTATCTCGTACATATAACACAACCACTCATTACCTTCCAATTCAAACTCAACCATCACCTTATTCCACCTTTCTTCAAACTCAGCCGACTCAATTTCAAGATGCCAAACACAGGCACATATTTTTTTCAGGAATCCTGTTTCCTCCTTTGTGATCGCTCGCCCTACTTTATCTGGCAACTTTTTCATTATATGCCACATACAGAACCGACGTTCAGATTTTTGAAACACTCTACTAACAACAATTTTCATAGCTGGATCTTGATCTGTGATCAGACAATTAGGTTCATTATTGCCCATTGCCTTAAGAAATGTTTTGAAAAGCCACTCAAATGATTCAATATCTTCCTTTGCTATGAAACCAGCCGCAAAAGTGATACAACTCTTGTGATGATCAACCCCTGGAAATGGAGTAAATACCATGTTGTACCTGTTTAGAACATGAAGATCAAATTTCATTACATACAAAATATAGCACTACCGTTTTAGAACATGTGAATAAAAATTTAGAACATATGAATAAAAATTTAGAACCCGTGATTAAATATTTAGAACACATGATTAAATCAGAACAGAAGAAATTATTTAGAGCATAGATTTAAGACTGAAGTTTATAACACATAAAGGTTATAATTTAGAGCATAAAGGTTATGAGTTTATAACACATAAGTTGGAGCATTAGACTTAAACTTTATAACATAAAAAGCAAATTTTAGAACATGTGAATAAAAATTTAAAACATATGATTAAAATTTTAGAACACAAGATTAATATTTTACTTAATTGTAATTGGAACATAAGAATCACTATTAAAACATTTGAATGAAAAGTTAGTTGCTAAATCTTATGAGCATATAAAACATAACTTAGACTTAAAATTTAGAACAATAGAAGCATTTTTAGAACATTCAAAACATAATTCAAAAAATAAGACACATGAATTATATGAATCACCTGTTAGTTTGGTAAGTGGTGTCAAATGATATCATATCGCCGAAGAGAGCATAATTTTTTTTACAAATAGGGTCCGCCCAAAGAGCTCTAGAAAGACAAGAATCATCATCAACTTTAAAAAAAAAAGAGCACTCCATATCAACTTTTTTCTTTGTGAAATTGTCTACAAACATTTGAGCATCGGAACCTTGAATGAATGTTTTTAAATCTCAGTGAAAATTTTTAAAATCTTGCTTGGAAGCTCCAACATTATCATAACCTCCAAGTATTTCCTTCATCATTCGAAAAGTTTTTACAGGGCCAATATTCACCTATTATAGGCACAAAAAAGTTTTAGAACATATTAAGAAACTTTTGGAACATGTGAATAATATTTTAGAACATATGAGTAAAATTTTAGAACGCACTATAAAAATTTATGAAAGAGTTACCTTAGAGTTATCAGCAATCATTTTTTTGTGCAAAATGTTCATCTTTCTTCCTTCTTTTTGAAATAGATTACAACTTGGTGTGTAGAGGGGATGAGTATGTCCTTCGTGGAACTGTGTTACTATATACTTTTCATCTTCACAATGTTTTAGAACCATAAGAGCTTTGCACCCAACACGAGTGACTAATCTTTTTCTTGTTATTGAAATCTTGCCTTCCTTGCTTTGTCCTTTTTTATCATTTAGAATACTCTCAACAATAGGCTTTTTCTTCTCCTTGAAACCCTGTTTGTTGCATAAGACATATTGGAATGCCAATTTTTTCTCTGTATGCCTTTTACTGGTAGACTTCCTAGTGTTAAAACCAGCAGCAAGTGCATATGATTTATAAAATTCAACACCCTCGTCAACACTATTAAATTTAATTCCTATTGCAGGTTTTAACTCATTGCGGCACATAGGAAACCATTCTTTTGTTCCTCCGGGAGTTAATATAGGTACTACTGTAGGAGTAGTTGGCACACTTGCATTGGCATTAGAAACATTATCAAGTTGTTCGTTGTTGTTAATTATTTCTGCACAAAAGTAATTTTAACAAGTTATAAAAATTTTAGAACATATGATTTAATATTTAGAACACATGATTAAATCAGAACAGAAGACATTATTTAGAGCATAGATTTAAGACTAAAGTTTACTTAATTATTTACAGCATAATTTGGAACATTAGACTAAAACTTTAGAACACATGATCAAATATTTAGAACACATGATTTTAGACATCCCATTAGAAAAATCAAAACATGTTCCAAAATTTTACTCATTTGTTCTAAATTATTTATCAAATGATCCAAATTATTTATCAAATTTCACTCATCTACATTCTCATTTATTACTTTCCCTTGCTTTCCTACCAACATGTTCTAATTTTATACACACATGTTCTAAAATTTTCAACCATGTTCTACGATTTTGGAACATGTTGTACATAAAAACATCCAATTTAATAAAAAAAAAAACAAAAAAAAAACCTGCTTCATTATTTGCTTGTTCATCCATAATTGTCAACCTAATATAATGAACCTGCAAAAATAAATTCAATCCAAGCAATTAAGTTTAATAAATTCCACATCAAAGAAAAAAGCACTCCACATAATCAAAGATAAAGCAAACAATGCTTGATGAAAATCGAACATAATCAAACATAATTGAAAATCGAACAAAATCGCAGCAAACAAAATTATAAGAATTAAAATTGCAGCAAACATAATCAAACAAAATCAAAGAGTCAATCGAAAAAAATCGCAGCAAACATAATCAAACAAAATCGCAACAAAAAATTGGAGCAAAAAAATCGAAAAATCGCATAAAAATCGAAGCAAAAAATCACTTCAAAAATTAACAAAAATCGCATAAAAAACTCTTAAGAATTTAAAGAACTAAATCATAAGAACTTAATCATAAGAATTGAATTACTTACCTAAGAACAAGAGAAGCTGATAATTTGAGCAAAGTAGAATGCGTGGGTTTTAGGTTTGTGAGGGGTTTATATTTGAGCATAAATTTACATTTTTGCCATTACTCTTGGAGTGATCTCAGCTGTTAGATCTTGTTTTATTAAATGGTTGTGATGTATTCTCATATATGATAGATTTCTCATATAAAGAGCTATTCTCATGGGATCTCTCACCTATATATATACATATATATATATATATATATATATATATATATATATATATATATATATATATATATATATATATATACATATTTATATACATATATATATACACACACTAGTTTAAGTCCCGTGCAATGCACGGTTTTTACTTAGCATATTTATAAATTATAATGTTCATTTAACAATAATTAATTCAAAATAAAAATCTATATTTTTAATTGAAACAAATACTTGGATTTTCTTTTCCATAAAATACCTATTATAAAATATTATATGTCAAAATATTTTCATTGAATGCATGTAAAATATACTTTATATATAGTTGTCAAATTGAAATTTAAATATTATAGGATATTATAAAATAATGTTCATAAATATTTATTAAAAAAAGGAAAGTAAAAGTAGCGGAAATTTTTTTAATCAAAACCTGACAAGTGTCATACCAGATTCGCCTTTAGTATAATGTAATATATATATATATATATATATATATATATATATATATATATATATATATATATATATCAAACCATACAATTGCCAATCTCTATGCTATGGTGCTATCAAACCCCCATGATCATTAAAAATTTTGCCGTAGTCGTCGACTACGGACGACTACGCTAAGAGATTATCCTTTTCCTTATCCTTATCCTTATATACAATAGTGGATGCATAATTTTAGGTTAGAATATTTATTTTAACTTAAATTACAAAGATATAACTACTATAAATTTGGAACTATTTGCAAAAAAAAAAAAAAAAAAAAAAAAAAATGGAACTTGGTCACGGTATAACCAATGAGAGGATAATAATAGTGATTAAATGTATCTTCTGTCAAATTGATCTTCAGTTTATATCTTTTCCTTAATTAAATTATTATAATTATGCATTTATGTTAATGATATGATTGTTTTACAATAAAAATATAGCCATGGTTAATAGTAAATATGCAATCATTTTATCATAATCACAGGTATATACTTTCATGACTTACAAAGTTTCAATTATTAAATTAACAACAATAAGTTGATTTTGGGTTGTCTTACAAAGTTCCAATATTAAATTTAACTTTCATTACGAGTAATTTAAAAATGGGTAATGTTATATCCTATATGTAGCCCTAAGGGTTATATATAATTATATAAACATTAAATACACTCTTGAAAATTATATAAAATTAAAAATTCATGACAAATTAAAAACACGCGTAAATTAGTTTAATTCGTGACTATATTTTGATGATTTCCTAAATTTATACGTTTAAGTGAGAATTTAATGCTTATATGTAGCCCTAAGGGCTATGTATAACATTTTTATTTAAAAATAAGCCAACTTTCATGACTGGTTGTATAAATGTATAGGTTAATAACCAGTTAATGTACCACATGTCATAGCAGTATTGCCTTATTGGTGAGATTTGTTTAAAATATTAATTTGAAAACTTTTGGTCCTTAAATTTCACTAGTATAAACGTAGCATACTTAAGAGCTCTTTGGATGGTTAAATTTCATCTTTCGTTCTGTATCACTAACAATCTAACATTATATGTATACTTGTACATTGTGTAATGTTAGGCAATCTGACTAATATTCAGTAATGATAAATTATTATGGGTCTACTATTTTATTTTGTTCATGTCAAAGTTAACTATATTAAATATTGTGATTTTTTTTAAATTTTCGGTCATAATTTTTAGTAAATATATTTTAAAAAGATTCTTTTTAGCAAGTGCTTAAAAGTATGTGTATTAGTTTTTCAAAAAGTATGTGTATTAGGTAGCAAAAATACTTAAATAAGTCATTTACAAACCAAATTAAGTACAACGTATGAATTAATTAAAACTATGGGTCCATTTTGTTCGCCTTATTTTCACTTTTTTCAAGTTTAAATAAGTTCAGTTCAGAATAAGTTCTAATAAGGATTGCTCAAATTCAAATTACAACTTAAATTATGTATATATTTACATATATATATATATATATATATATATATATATATATATATATATATATATATATTACTTTTTTACAAAAAAAACCTATAAAATTTGATGGATTATATTTAGAACAATCAAATTAGGTAGTCCAAATAAGTACTTGTATTAATGTAGTCTCACTCACGAATATTTGAATGTTGTTATTAGTCTTATTACAATCAATTAGGTCGTCTCAATTAAGTATTATATAGTCTCAATAAGAAAAGTTAAAGGTTATTTGTAGGCGTCGTTCGAAGTGCGCCTACGTTAAAGCATGTGGTGAATATGCTTGGCAATCATAGGAAGTGGGAATTGACATTACGATTAGGGACAAAGCAAAGTAGGGAGCCGCCAACAAGTTTTTAAGGAACTTGTAAACCGTTCACGGATCATAAAAGGCAACCACGAATAAGGGACAACGATAGGCAACAACGATTGACCCGTGAAGGTTACACCCCATTCATAATCCATGAGATTACTAACTCCATATGGTTCGGAACCACGAAAAGAGGATCGGGGATGGTGGTACGAAGTGAGTCATGGAGTCACATTTGCCCGTATTGGCCTCTACTCAATTCTTATTGTGAAAAGTGATTCCTGCGATCTCAAAGACATACAAACAAAAATTCAATTTGCTTCAATCTATTATTAAGCTAAATTGGTTGAATATTAATGCAACACATAACTCTAAAATATTCGTGATCACTTCAATTAGCAACAAGATTAAAAGAAACCTAAACCGGTTGTCCAAATTATCTTATTAGGCGTGATTTTCAATTACATATTCCCTTTAATATGCAATATGGTGATCATAGTAATAATAGAATAAACATTAATATTGGAAGCAATTCAACAATAATAGCGTTAGTCAATAACCCTAATCATGATACTAGCAATATTAAAATAAAATAAGAGTAATTAAATTGATTAATTACTCACATTCTACGCGTTCCTTTAAATTGCTACATCATGAATAAACTATTAGTAACTTCAATGAAAATATAAAGCAAATGGAAATTAAATTAAATAAATATAGACTTGATTTGGTCCAAACCCTCAGTTATTTATACCTTTCACGTCTTGGTTTAAGGACGGAACCTCGGGTTTAGTATAGACTCCTTGGATTGCTTAAGGGAAGAATGGTGTAATTAGGAATATAGGTTTAAGGCTTAGAATATGGGAGAGAGAATAGAATGATTTTTGGTATAAAAGAGAAAAAGAGAGAATGATATTATGATCAAGCTTGTTGATGTTTGAAAAAAGGGGAGATAAGACCTCTATTTATAGAGGAAAAAGAAGGGTCGAAAACTTAAGTAAAGATCCGAATTAAATCGGAATAAAACTCGATAGACAGCAGTTTTTGCGGTTTTTGTTTTTATCATATCTTTTGATCCAGAAATTGGAATAAGATGAAAAAGATATTGTTGAAAATCTATTGAAGTCTACTTTCTAACCCAATTAGAATCAGATTAAAATATTTTGTAGAACAAAAGATATAGCCGAAATAGTGAGACGGTGTCAGTTTTGGATATAGTTTGACATTTTATTCATATCTTTTCCGTTATAGCTCGGAATTGATATTATAATATATCATTGGAAAGATAATTTCAAGGGCTATCCAACCATATAAAATTTGGATAAAAACTATGAGGCACAAAAATAATATCTGTCTATCTTTTAACGTCTTTCAATTCGGATAAAATTAGGACTTTAAAAAAAAAGGAGGTTTATTCAATTTCAAACTATTTAATCTTATCTTTTCAAAAAGGATAATCAAGATCTTTTAGAAACTTAAAGAAGCTTCTAATTAATCCTAATTGGTTTAGGAATGAGATTAAATAATTTGGACCCTCCACATGATCATTGGGTCGTAGGTAAGGTGGGCTTAAGTTTGGTTTGGGTTCAGTTTAATATTTTAGCCATAACTTATTCGTTATAACTCGGATTTGGGCTTATAATATATATTTGGAAAGATCTTTTCAAGACCCATCCATCTATTTAATCATTGGACCCAGATTATGGACCAAAATAAACTAGATCAAACGTTTTTATAAAAAGGACACGAAATAAATGTTTTTAAAGGGCACGAAATAAATTATTTTGGGTTTAAAAGCACGAAAAGAGGAAAATAAGTTATAGTTTGGGGAAATGGGCTAGGAGTTGGGTTGGTTCATGAAATGAAAATATGGATTTAAGCACTCCAAGATTAAATACTCAACCCGACCAATAATAGCGGTAAAAGGTTGTTCATCATCGGGTTTGGTTTTGGGGAGACATTTTTAGGTGTCTACATTGTTACAATCAATTAGGCAGTCCCAATTACATATGATAGAGTCTCAATAAAAAAAAATAAAAATTGAAGGTCGTTACAATCAATTAGGCTGTCCCAATTATGTATTA